ATTTTGAGCTTGTATCAATACACTTACAAGGTAAAAAATGGGTTTATATGTAGTAAATCCCTCACTTGAGGCCTTGCAAGGAGTGAGGAATGTAGTTGAGTTTGTGCAGACCCCCACATTGGAAGAAGTGTTTCTTGAAAATCAATACCTCCCACATAACTGGTCATCTGCGGAGCTTGACAGGTTCCTCGGGGAAGGCATCAATTATCATGTCCTGCCAGTGCCATACACTCCTCTCACCACTATCAGTATTACATGAGCATCACCATGATGGACTCATTACTGATTTTCAAAGGTATAGGGAAACAAGTAAAATACATAGAAAGGAGAGATTGTTTTAAGCCATAACCCAAGTCAATAAAGTCATCTATCCTCACATATCACATCTCCATACAACGCAGTTAAACATCCAGGAACCCTCTTGAGAGTTTCATTGCCCATACTGTTGCCTCAGAAAGGCATCAATCAGAGTGATATACCAAAACTGATTCTTCAAGATGATTATCTTGAAAGTAAACTGGGGACCTCATTACCTTCTTCCTCAAGGTTGAGGATTTGAAGGAATCTGTTGGAATAGTATTGTAATTAATTGATTTGATAAACTCAAAGATTGAAAACTATAGTTTTAGGTCACTTGTAATTTACTGATAGGAATGTCATGTATAACAGGTATGTATGTAAAATGTTTGTAATGACGGACCAGGTTTTGGTTTTGGTATTTTACCTTTGGGTAATTTGACAGCATTACCACCTTTACCATTTTAAACTCTCCATTATCTTTTTAATCCTGATGCTGAAACTGTTTGTAATTAAATTTCTTACACTAGTACAAGAATTTCTCTTAGATCTGTTTGAGTTTACTTAGCTGGTATCTCTTTTACTTTTAATCTTGAATATCCTAACATCTTATGTGATACTCAACTTAGTGTGGTCAGAGCGATGATGAAGAGTTGTATCAAAATTTATTCAAAGCTGGTCATTCAAAAGAGTCCTTTAACTATTCCTCTTCTTCCTTTTGCTGTTCCAAAAATGGATTCTTCTCACAATGATTGTCTCTTCTTAGCTTTGTTGTGTGTGGGTATTGGGGGACCACATTGACTTGGTGAACTTAATATTCCGGATTCTTCCAAGCTTGAGCCCGGATCCAACCCGGGCGCGCTTAGGTGACCCTGGGGCCAGGTCCAAGCCTTACCCATGGATATCATCAGAAAATCATCAGATTCATTCAAACATCAGCTAATTGTTGATAGACCTTTTATTGTATGCATAGAGTCCCATGAATTATAGAAGGAAACAAAGCAATGATCATATGGTTGAGTAAAACACACCCACGGGGTGTGATCCTTGATCAGGGATGAATTGAAATCCACAGAATTCAATGAAAGTGATCCATGGACTTCAACAAAGTTCATGAAGCAATTAAAGGAGCGGCCAATTTGAAATGTTTTGATTTATGGATCACGTGATCACAACTCAAAAAGGTTTTCCTTCCCTCTGATATCCTCATTGCAACTCAAATTATCTTTTCTATCAATATCCTAATCACAACTCAACACTGTAAACATTATACATTCTCCCCAAGTGAGAATGGGAAAATGATCAAGATTGTAGTTTGCCATGAAAGATATATCACTGTGCACCTGAGCCAAGGCACCTACACTTCATGTGTACAGAAGGATGGGAGAATTGGGAGCTATCATGTACATACAGAGCTGCTCAGCTATTGGCACATCTGAATGAGTGGATCATATGTAATACTTTCTGTAAAAATTTTCAGTTTGACAAAAGCATTCCAAAAATTGACTACATATATACAATGACTCATAGTTTTGGTGTAATTCCATCAACTAAACATCATATGACAACCTTTCTGTTACTGTTGAATGGCTTTCAGAGTATTACATGAGTAGCTATGGAGGTATATGTAGTCAATGTTTAGGACAATTTTGTCAAACTGGAAAAAGTTACATGTTGTATCACATGTGATTTAATTCTTCAGATGAGCAGGATACTAAGCAGACCTGTTTGTGAATGATAGCTAATGATTTACTCAGCTTGTTGCACATATTTAGTGTGGGTGTTATGGCTCAGGTGTTCAGTGATAGATCTTTTGATGACAAACTACAATCATCATCATTTCCCCAGTTCCATTTGGGGATAGTGTATAATGTTTACAGTGCAACATGCTTTCTCCGTCCTCTGATATCCCAATTGCAACTCAAAAAATGCTCTGAAACTGTGTTATAAATGGCCTTAAAATACCAGTCTTGAATTGTAGCTGCTCCATCATGACAAAAAGTGCCTACATAGCTATTTAGAAATGTAGGTGGTTTTTTTGAGTGCCTACATAGCAATTACAAAATGTAGGCGCTGAAAAAATGGCCTATATATGGATTTTGACATTTAGGCGCTAAAAAAGTGGAGAACATACAAAGGACAATGAAATTTCCGAGCCAAGTAGAGCAAGCCAAACCAAGCAGGAATCCGAGCAAGTATCCCATGAGACACAGCGGCATCACATTATTAATGTCGGACACATTTGGAATATGAAATATTTGATCCTCAATGTCAATCACTCCAACTGCCAATTTGTCAAATCATTTGTTGTAGGATCTCCACCCAACTTTCCCTTTATAAGTAATCAGAAACATCACACAAAATCATGTAACCCCATTTAAAGTATACTGATTTTCAGTGAGTCAATCAGATATATACTCTGTCTCAATGTTAAACCACTTCAACCTTTGCCTTTTGCCCCAATCAAAGAGGCAAAAACAGGGCTTATTTGCTTCAAGACAGTGCATGTGCACATTGAGCAAGTCGATATCTTGTATGGGACATGTATGGATGAGGGGGATTGCATTGCAAGATTGCATTGTCAAGTGAATTTGTAATAAGAAGAAACAAGGCATGCATATGCTATTTTGAGACATGTAAATGTGAAGTCATATGTAATGGTTTGTGCAAGTCTGAGGAACTGGCTCGGCTTGACTTTGCTCAGAAACTCTGCTAGAACTTTCATTGCCCTTCCAATATTCTGAAAAAGTGCCTGCATTTTGAAATAGTTATGTGAGCTCTTTTTTGAGAAATTTTGGTGCCTACATTGCAGATTCAAGCACCAGTTCCCGCAATGTAAGCACCATATTTTGGGATACAAACATGTAGGCACTTTTTTCAAGACTGCCTACAAGCTTGGATATATGGTGGTGTTTGACAAAACCCTATATACACAGCCCCCAGCTACTAGTCACTGGCAGGCCAGAAACCACCACAAATTCAGGAAGTTTTCAAAGCAATTTCAGAGAAACTTCAAGCAACTATCAGAGAAACTTCTGTTGGAATACTCACGCTACCATCACTCGACTATCACTGTAGTCCGTAGCATTCCCATGATTGATGTGCTTACCACCCTTGTTCACATCTCAGTCTTTACTGATATTCTTGTTGTTCTCATCGGATCCTTCTGATTCTTGTTCAGTTGTTGATCTTTCTCATCGGATCATTTGATCTTTGAATCTATGTCCACAAGTTTTTTACATAAACATTACGTACAAACCTTGTATATAGTCTGCCTAGAGCCACGCCAGGAAAGGGTCTCTTCTTCACCCTTTCCGCATTTCATTTTGTGCACTCTAGGTAGGTCTCTCTGTCTCTTTTGTGCTTTGTTTTATCTGATGAAATACTAAGGTTTATCACCCCTTCCGCATTTCATTTTGTGCGCTCTAGTTGATTGCAACAACTTCAGCAAACTTTCAAAAGAAATTTACAACACGATTGCAGGTGGACAGTTCTCCAGACCAAAACAATTTTTTACTTACAGAATAGCATTACTGAGAAAGGTCCAGAAGAATGTACCAATGCTTGATATCTTCAGGAGATTTGTTCACATGAAGCAGGTTTAGGCCCATACACACATGCAAACTGTCTGGCAGATAGTAATGGTACAATGTACACCTCTGTATGGGAATCTGGAATTCAAAACTTTCTCAAAAAAATGAATTCCTAGAACATTTCGAAATGATCTCCCAACAAGACTTTTGATTTTTCTCTATAGCCTCACTTATTGCAATAGACAGATGTGCAATGACTGGCAGATCCCAGTAGTCATATGTACACCTCTGTACAGAACCTGAGACTGAGTACTAAGATACTGCTTTTTTAAATCTCTTTGAGAAACACTTGAGTATTCAGATAAAGCCAAGAAAAACACCCATGAGTTCTCTGTTATCTTGTCATGTTTTCTCCATAGACCTTGTTTATCTACATACACAGATGCACAATGCCTGGCATACTCTAATGGTACTATCTACACCCTTCTTGGTGATATGACGGGGAAAAGATTACTTGAAATCATTTTCAAATCCTGTTGAAGTTGGTGGTGGTTTCTGGCCTGCCAGTGCCTGGTAGCTAGGGGCTGTGATATGAAAGAAACAACTGGGTGTAGTTAGAGCATATACAAATGATACCAAGGGGAACCTGAGTTGAACATAAGTGATTTGTACAATTTTCATAGTGGAAGAGAGGGGCACAATTTTATACAATATAGTTGATCATCATTTGGAGCTGTTCTGTTTGGAAATGCCTGTCTCAATTACAATTGTGTCCACTGGTTGGCCAGACACTTTGGCACATCATTGGCTTGTATTGTTTATTTCTCATGAAGCAATCTTCAAAACATGATGATCTGCTCTCGTGACAACACATTGGAGGACATCTATGTGTCATCTACATAGTTACTATTGGGCTATTGTACTTGTAAGTTTTCATATCCTCTCTTCAAAGCATCATTTTTGGATAGCACACAACAAACATTCCACAAGAAGAAAAGATTTGTCCAAGGCTGCACCTATGCCTTCTCAGCGTGAACAATCAGAGGAAACCCAAAAATTATATTCATGTGACTCCTAAATTCTGTATACAAACTCAACAGTGGTATATCCAACAAACTTCCAAAGCAAGTAAGAACACACTGAAACAGAAGAACAAGTTGTGAGAAACTTTTAAGAATGTGATGCTGATGATCCTCTGCCTGTGTAATCATCAAATTTGGGAGGAGCAGTGTTGTGTGGACCGTGGAATTCAATATTCCAAAGCCTCCATGGACTGTTTGGTTGGAGACGTGATCTAAAGATGGCAACCACATCCTCTTCAAATTCTTCAGTTTTCCAAACAACTGTCACTTTGTTTGCTGCTCTGTCTCCTGTGGTATCTATTTCATGTTTCCACCCCACTATGAACATAATAAAAAAGTGCTTGGTAAATATCTATCACCACAAAGACACTTGGATACCTTTGGGATGTCCTCTTTTTTGCAGAGGGTAAGACAGCCTGACATGGTCTCCTACAAGGCGTCCACCACCTTGTAAATCGCCATAGAGCCTTTCAAGATGTCCTTGGACTATCAACACCGCCATGGCATCCAAGGGATGAAGTGAGGATGTCCCACCTCTGGGACATCTTAATGATGCCTTGACCTGGGATGCTAGCCCATTGTCTCAATGTGGAGCGGTCGGTACATCCTCCTGCAAAAAGGTGTCTTTGTGGTGTATGTAATGCTCCAATAGTTCTGATGACATATGAAAGATCTCCTTGAGACTCACCTAGTTTGCGCTGCGGGTTGTGATATAAAAGTTGCCCTACTCTGTTCAGAAATTCTGTGTATTGAAGGATAATTTCCAGTCAATCACCTTTCATCAGATCCAACATCACAAATGGTAGTGGCTGGGTTTTCATCATTTTGACAACACTCACCATCCACCTTGATCTCGTTTGTCTGATCAACGATATTGACCCTTTTAACCCAAAGTCTTCTATCTTGCTTAAGCCCCTTCTGCACAGACTCACGACCTCGAATTGTGACAAAGATATCCGTGCTGACTTGTTTAATAAGATGTCTTACTTTCCCTGTTCAGGCCACCCTATCAATGACAAGTTTCTAGAACATATATGCAGAAAGAACTCAGGAGTCGGGATTGTCAAAACTTACGATCGTCTAGTTCATCTATGCTCCTCAGCACTGATACTGCATATTGACTATGTATCAAAATGACTAGTGAAATCCAGAAGAAGCTCTTGATCATTTTGAGAAGAGACTGAGTACGTACAAAAAAGAATATGTATGATTTAGAATGATATCAAGTGGAAATCGAGTTGAAGAAAAGGGATTTGTAGAATATCCTTGATGAAAGAGAGGGGTGCATATATAAGGTGGCTGATGATCACAAATTCCATTGAAACTTTTCTTTGGGATCTTTCTCCTTCAGCATCCTCTGAGCTCCAAACGCTTTGGCATATCTTGTATGGGAAGCATGGTTACAATCCATCCTTCAATGGTAAAAAAAGACGGCTTCATCATGAGACGTCTGCGGGTGTCATCTTTAGGAGCGCAATTCTTCAATACACAAAATTCGGTATATGGGGTATTTGTTCAAAACTTGCTACAAAGAAACAATTTATGAACATCGGAGATAGGCTTTCCATAACCCGAGCAACCAGCAGAAACTGCGAATCATATAAATCTCAAGCCGTTCATCCAAACTCAACAGCGGGTTATCCGAGTCAGAACGCACTGGATTACATTCCCTCGGTGTGACACTCAGGCTGTGGGCGCAGCGCGAAACGGGTGAAAAGACGAAATTGGGTGGAGGTGCGCCATCAAAAGTCAGATTAACTGTAAACAAGCACTGTTCACCTTCACCTTTTCTTGTTCATTGAGGAACGTTTATTGGTAATTCTGAGCTCGTATTAATACAGCTCACTCCTCAGGCAAAAAAACGAGTTCAGATGTAGTGAATCCCTCACTTGAGGCCTTGCAAGGAGTGAGGGACTTCGTTAAGTGGGCAGACCCCCAAATCAAAAATGGTCTTCACAAGAATTAATTCCTCCCACATAACTGGGCATTGACGATTCTTGACAGGTCCCTTGGGGAAGTTTCCATTTTGGATGATTCATATAGAATTGCATAACAATCTTTCAAATATGTTGGGATCATTTTATTTTTACAGCATTAAGTGAACAAGACAAATCAATAAAATAGAGACGGCTGATTTATCAAAAATCAAAGACTAAAAGGAAATAAAAGAAAATGACCCAAATCGTACAGACAACCATTCTTACACATATCATTAACCCAAAAACCCAATTCAATTTGTTCCTCCTCTTTATAATCTTTTATCCATTTGTTATTTCATACCAATTTTTTCATCAAGTCTAAAAACATTCATTCATTCATTCGTCAGTAACCAATCCATTAAACAAAATTGTTCCAAAGAAAAACTCACTAATTAATTTTCCCTTTTACGATCATCAAAAGAAGTGTTTCAATGTAAAAATCAAGAATAAAGGATTTGTTGAAATTGAAAAAAGCTTTGAAATTCAAATAAATAATTTAAATCGAATTGATGATTAATCTTTAATGAAATTAATTGATGTGATAAACATAAAGATTGAAAACAAATCGATTTAAATTGATTTTGGAGCTTTTCTAGTTCTTCTTCTTCTCTTGATTCAAGTTTACCAAAATCAATTTCAAGATTTAATAGATTAGGTAAATCAAATTCTAATAAATTTAAATGGATTTGTAAAAAATCTAAATTGATTAGTTTTAATGATTTTATTGAAACAGAAACGGTTTTTAAAAAAGAATTTAAACCATAAATTTGATCAGTTTTTAATTTTTGTAAATCTTGTAAATTTGATGAGTTTGAGCTTGAAATAAATTGACAATCAATAATTTCTAAATCAATAGAACCTTGATCAAATCCAAAATTAAATTCATCAGGTAAAACCAAGATCTGAACTCTTTGAAAACAAATCCTTTGAAGTTTTTTAAAATTCGTTAAATTCTTTAAAATTAATGAAACTTGAGGATATTGATGTTGAGAATTGGAATCAGATGAATCACTAGGACCTTTAATAATTAATGTATTCAAATGTGATAGTTTTGAAATAGATTCAATTGTATCTAAAAAATTCTCTTCAATTTGGTTTCCAAAATCATAAGAAATTTCTAATTTTTCAATTAAACCACTCAAAGATAAAATTTCAGCTAAGTTTTCATCGATTCTAAAATCACAATGATTTAAAAACTTGAAAGAAATCGATTTGATTTCTAATCGATGAAATGGTATAAAGTTAAATTTGAATCTTTCTAATTGATTCAAGTTATAATCTTCATCTTGTGATCTTAAGTTAATTTCAGAATTTAATAATGGTTTTGATAATTGATGATAAAATCGATCTAATTGTGAAAGCTTTGCTAAAATGTCTTGACCTGATTGATGGCACGTTTTGATCAGTTGGTATTGTAATTCGATAGGTAAGCTTGAAAGCGTAGACATGTCTCTGTCTTGTTGATATGAAGAAGTGTTGATGTTTTAAAAATTATCTGAATTCAAGACGATCACAGACCGTATAGCTATTAGATGATTTGGAAAAAAAACTTGCGAAGAGTTACGAGATAAATTGAATAGATTGCACTGAAGAATATTTTGGATTGGGTAAAAAAATGATAATTATAACTTCAATCAAAAAGATATCAAATCGATCGAATGAATATGTTTCCAGAATAAAATCATCGACATCTAAAGTAGCTCGATGATATATAAACATTCGATTTGTTATCTTTCCATCTCCATCCTTCAAGACTCGAAAGTCAGCCTACAATTCGCAAACTTGACCAGTTTGAATATAATCCAAAGGGCGATGAAACTGATTGAGGAATTGTTTTGCCATCTCAATTTTTGTGTAAATCAGTTAAACCAATCTTTTGAAAAGTTCCAGAATGCTGCAAGATCCTGCACTGCTGCCACCACTCTGACTCGCTTCTGGAATCTGAGTCCTGACCAAACTTTGAACTTTGATGGTGATGAACTGTGAAACTGATTTTGTAATTAAATAGGAGTTGTGACATGTCAGGTGTTAGATGACACCAGCTGTGAATTTCAAATTAACAACGATCGACGCCTGACTCCTGAGTCCTTCCCTTTCTCAACTTCCTTCGATCTTAAATCAAACCCATCCACTCCTGATTCTTAAAACACCATCATCATCACCAAGATGCCATGCTCATTCAATGCAAACTCTTTACCCCACATCCCAATAAGTGTCCTAAGAGTTTCCTTAAATCCAATTTATTCTACCATCTTACCTGTAATCTTAGGTACTACAACCGGTTTGATCACTCGTACTTCAGTTTCAACTTGGTATCCTACTTTACGTAAACCTCCATACGAACCACCAAGATGGTATGTGTTCCATTAACCAAAAAGTCTTTCATACTTTCATTCAACTTACGGAAAAGAAAAACTTTCTGTTCATAGGGCTTTTCCAGTCGCTTGGACTTACTTATACGCCACCATGGGTTATTCTTCTCATTTATTAACTCAAACTTATTTAAAATCGATTAATGGATTTGATTCAAGTTTGATTAATGATTCAAACCTTTCATTAAAATTATATTTTTCTCAATTGGTTTTTAATTTACTTTGGACTCCAATCTTCTTTGGTAAAAGAAACGTTGGACTTGGATTGATTGATATTTCGATTTTAGATCTTAATGTGTTTTATTTGACTGTTGAGTCTCTTTCATTCTCTTTCCTTCTTTTCAATAAATTCATCTTATCTAATTGACTTCGAACTTCTTCTGTTAAATTTATAGTATCTATCTAAAAAAGTTAATGAAAAAGCCTTTTACTTATTCTTACCATACGTAAGTTTACAAATTATTTCTATGCCTTCCCAAATCCAATGATAAACTTATTCTTTTTAACATACTTTATTTTTCGTTAAAACAGTGTGCTTGGTTAAGTTACGCTACATATTTAAATGCAGGAGTTTGGTATTTAAATGGTGGTAAAGATAAACTTTGTAACCTTTATCAATTTGTAGTTTCTAAATTCAATAAGAAAAAAACTGCGTGATAATCTAAACCAAAAGATTTTTTTATTAAAACCTTTACAAATTTTATTATCAGGATTGTTTTCTTGATTATTGTTCTTTTTTTTGTTTTGGTTTTTGTACTATTATTATACAAATTGGCTATATATCTCTAGTCTCTATCAAAAAACCCATAAAATCTATCAAAAAACAACTTCTTTTTTGTCTTTGTCAGTTTTGATTCTTTGTGATCTGAGCAATTGGAATTATGTTCTAAAAATCTCTGAAGCCAAAAAGACCCAGTCTCCTAAAAAACCCCATTCATTACACTGCACTGTCCAACTCCAAGACCCCCTAAATGTCCCAAATAATTCAAAATTTCAACTTGACTCAAAAATTTCATCCTCTTCATTCAAATCCTCAAAACCTTCTGCCAAACTTGATTGAAATAATTTCAAAAACAAATGATCAACATATTAAAATTTCTAAAACACTTTTCTTTTCTTCTCTTCAGGTAAATAAGTAAATTTGAGCATATGTATATCAAAAAGACAGTGATATAATAAGTCCAACATCTAACAACTCAATAATTTCCATGTCTTTAGAAATAGATTCTATTTTTTAAAAAAACAGAAAAACAAATCTAATTCTAAACTATTTATCAAATCGATCAATCAAATATACCTCATGTCTTTCAACAAATCTTCATCTTCAACCTCTTCTTCTAATGAACTAATGATATTGTATCTATGGTTTTCAAAATCCTCAAGTCGAACAAAAATTGATAAGATATTATTATAATCATTTTGAAGACTTGATTTTTAATTATAAAGTCGATTCAAGTGTTCAATACAAAAAACTCTATTATGATGATCAACACAAGAATCCAAAACCCATATATGAATCCAAAACAAAATCAAGTATCAGCCTTAATTTTTCCTTAATTTCATTCTCTGATCAAGAAACCACTTACACATTCTTTTAAAAAAGTTGATCAAAAATGAATAAAACTAACTTCATCAACGTCCATAACTTCTACCATTCCTTTCCTCAAGTTCTCCATTCCCACGTCTATCATATCCATTTTTCGATCTAGACCTAAAGCGATGACGATCATCCACATCCTCATCTTCTTCCTCTTCTTCTTCTTGTTCTTCATCTTCTTCATACTTTCTTGAAGTTTTATACTTTCTTTCATGTTCTAATTCGATTTCATCATGATCATACATTTCTTCTTCTTTACGTTTCATCTTCAAGATCTCTTTATTTTCATTTTCTTCCTCACTTTCACTTCTTCTGTCATTTCTTCTTCTTCTACCATTACTACTTGTATATTCTTTTTCTTCTCTGTCTCGATCAAGACCTCTTGATCGATCAGATTCTCTAATAACACAAACAAACAAACAAAATCATCAGTTTATATTTCTTTGATTACATAATCAGAAGATCAATAGCCAACATACCTAATTTGTGAATCTCTCGTATCATTTCGTCGATAATCTGAATCCCTAACTTTTCTAGTATGATACCCATCATTCTCTTCATCCGTTTTTGATTTAGGTTCATAATGTTCATAACGTTGAGGACGAGATGATGAATATGAAGTAGGTTTAGATCGACGACTAGGTGAAGAAGCACGATGATGATGATGATGATGTCGAGTTCTTGTCTCATCACTTTGATAGGTTTTTGCAGATGATGGCATAGGTGGATACAAGTCAGGTACTTTGGATATCGGTTTCATCCTCACTTCTGTCTTGTGTCCATTAGAAGGGATTTCTATCGGTTGAGTAGGTAAAGGTAGGGTAGTGATTGATGAAGAGACCAGAGTCGATTCCGGAATTTGCTTAAGGCTAGTAGGGACTTGACCTTTTTCAGCTGAATGCGCGGGGAATTGCTGATATATCGGCGTTGGAGGTAAAGTCAACAGATTCAATGAAGTTACATTGATGGTCTTGGCAAGTTGAGCGTTACTCAAAGTCGAAAGAAAATCAATATCCACCAAATCATCTTCTCCAGTATTATAACCTGTTTGATAACAAAGATTGATGATACCATGTTCACTACCACCATCAAAGACATGACGATCTAATCGATTTTGAGCTTCATCCTTTTGATATTTTTGACAAGTTAAAACACACTTTATCAAAACAGAAACTAATTCGATTTCTTTCTTCATAAACATACTTGTTATCTCATCAGATAAAACGTCAGTAGCCAATGGAGATGGATGATAATCGTCTCGAGTTGATTGTAAGTATTTTGCAAACCAAGTAGCTTCACTATTTGTTGAAGTTTGCTTCTTGCGAGAAAGAAGTAAATTAGCTTCATCTGGATACTCTAAACCAAACTTGAGTGCTCGCCATAAATTGATACATGAATTTCCAAAAGAATTGGGTGGTAACTGTTTGAAGTAATCCGAGCAGATGAGCCAACAACTATACAAGAGTGTGACGGGTGTGATGTATTTCGATTGATCCTCATCCGCAGGCTTAGGATCAGAGTCTGTACTTTGTGGTGAAGTGGACTCGATAATCGATTGAATGATGGCCAAGGTCTTTTTGATCAGAAATTTCGGAAATGAACCTGATGATACATGAATCAGATCAAAGGTATAGATAAGTTTACTGAACAACCATATTTTGATCTGATTGGTTCGTCCGTCCTTCAAAGGTTCGGTTCCAAAGAATAAATCTGATCCTAAGATGAGATGTGGATGTTCCAAAAAGTAAATCGCAAGCTCGTTAACCAGGTTTTTGAAATCGATGGCAGACTTTTTGACTACTTGACGCTTGAGAGCATTCTTGTCGGTTTCCGTAAGGGGAGCCTTGCCCAGATCTGGTAGCAGTGGAAGACATCGTGTCAAGAAATCCAACACGATGGGGGAATATTCACTAAGCTTGACTGAAACTTTGATCACGCTATTGAGCACCATGGCAAGATTAGATTGTTCAATTTCAAGTCTGGGGTTCGAGTGAGTCTCATTAGGAAATTGATTCATGTAACCGAGGGTTAGACTGGATTCGTCTGGTGTTGAGCTCCATGTTAAAGATCGCAGAAGTGAGATCAAATTCGTCCTGAACCTTTTCTCGTATACCCAATCAACAGCGAAATCAGGACATTGGATGGGATGCAGCAATCGGTCCATTTGGATCGAATCAGCCAAGATCATATTGATGAGCATCGCTTTTTCGCTCAAAACTCGAATAAATTGGATTGGTGGCTTGTTCTTCAACAACATAAACTCAATATAACACAAGCGTCGAACCGCTTCGAACAGAGTTGAAAAGATCGACAATCGGGTCAAGTTAAAGAGTTGATGTCTTTTTTTAAGTGACTCGAGCCGTTTCCAGGTGATCTCAACGAGTTCGAGGATCACATCGCAAAACGATGAATCAGGCTGATCAGAATTAGTAGCAAGCCGGCGAACATCATTGAATTGGTCGCATAGCAGTTTACCAAAAATATTGCTGGTGTCATTCACACTCGGCCTAAGGTTTGAAAGAGCACCTAAAACATTCATGCGGACTTCGACTTCCCATAAATCAGCAAATCGAACGGTGGCCGGATTGGGTAACAAGGTTACAGGATCTTCGATTGACATAAGTATATTGGCCCGTAACTGAAGCTTGTTACCTGGTGCCATAGGCTTGGCCGAAGTAGACAGATGATTCATAAGAGCTTGCCCAACCATTTTGGCATTGGGAGACAAGATGATGTCAGCATCAGAAAGCACGACAGCAGAATACCAGTCAAAGATATGACGTGGTTCGTCCAGAGGGATTGGTTTTCGTAAGATTGAATGATTCAATTGGATGATTCGAGCCGAGAGTTGTTCGCAACTAACTAGTCGACACAATAATCGTTTGCTCAACATGATGACTGACAAACCCTCCAATTTCTTCATTGCTAACTTGATGTCAGCTTTTGAGTGGGATTCCGACGAGACATCTGCACTGGTCAGTCCCTCTCCTTCTTCGGAGGTGGTACTTAAAACAACCGAAAGTAAAGCGCCAAGTGATGTGTAGCCCGTGATCAGTCTTGCGATTGCCAACAAGCAAGGTCGTGGACCAAAATCGGATTGATGGTTGCTGATCGACTGCCAATTACGCGTGGACAATAACATCATCATTGTGTGAGTTTTTCTTTGTTCAGATTCTTCACTGGCGTTTAGACGAGCAGGTATGAATTCATTCAGCGTAGCTATCCATTGGGATAAAGCCTCACTGTTCTTAACGAAGTAGGGGACAAGATGAGGTAGTCCGATCTCCGAATTGGTAAATAAATTGGTGAAGAATTGAACCACACATTCAACAAGCATTGATTTTCCTTTTTGTTCCCACGCAAGCTGAGGGGGTGATTTGAATTGTATCCTGAGAAGCGTCAACAAGCTACCTAAAAAGTCTTCGGCTTCAAGGTATTTGAGCAATGCCTTGTAAGTTGTAGAGGTCGAATGTAACGGAGGCGTTGAGATTGACGGCTGATCGGGAGAGCTGACATCTTGAGGCGCCATGGAAAACGGAACAAAAGAGCTTTGACACATGTAACCTATCAAACGTTGAAATAGGTGAATCAACTTCATTAGTTCAAATTCCGAAAGGGTAGATGATGGGCGTGCTCCATTCGTCCGATCTTCAGCGTTGTCGATGGCTATACCATCAAGGTCGTCGTCTAAACCAGCGCCGGCTTGATTTGAACCGTGATTGAGTCGCTTGATGAATTTACTTATTTCAAGGATAGTCAAGTATGCCTTGAAGCGGATGAGAAGGTGATCCTGTCCAGAAAGCCACTTGAAGGAGTCGGCGAGAGCAAACTTCCCCATGACGTGAGATGATAAAAGTGTTGCTTCCTCTGAACAGATGGTCAGCATATTGACTGCTGCATCGCGTGCTGGGGTCAGGTTTGAATCTGAAGTGGAACTCTTGAGGATCGTAATCGCATACTGAATCACATTTGAAGCCTAGAAGGCGGTTCAAAAACAACATTTTCAGTCAAAGATACTAGTGGATGTGAGGAATGTAAAGATATGAGCAAGCAAATGACATACAGATACAATATGTATAGCTGTTGGTGATATCTTGACGAGTTGCGCGACAATATCCAAAGAGTATGTCATATCGCTTGAAAAGTTCTGAGAGGTGATGAGATGAAACAATATTTGTCATTTATTGCTGAGCTTTGAAGGTTGACGTTATCTCATTATGATTTCTTTTGAATCAATAGCCAGAAATGTATGTATGATATATTGACTAAAGAAAATAAAATATGTAATCCTTGGGTCGAGAGAAAAGAGAGCGATTCGCATGACAGCTTACGTCGCGTGATATGATTAGATCAGATAAAGCCACAAGTCCTTCGAGAAATCTTCGAATGGCATCTGAATTGGACGAAATTGAATGGTTCTCTTGATCGAAACATGAACGTGCCAATTGAGCCAGGTCTTTCGCGAATTTTGTACCGTCTTGGGCTTGGCCTACCGATAAAAGTTGTTGTGAAGATATTCTCGACGCTGTAGGGCTCGGTAGGTATAGACTCTGTACACAAGACTGCAAAGACGTAACCAAATCTAAATGGGATGTAGAAGCTTTCTGTTTTAGGGTAGAAGTAATACTAAGGAACTCTTTTGCTAAAAGTAAAGAACTGTCCAGTGTCGGGTCGCGTTCTTTTTTCTCTCTGTCGAGTAAAGTGGATTGATTGGTAGGTGATTTTCCTTCGTGGATTCCATTAGATGAGGAAGACTCGGGGGTTTGACCGTGTATAGCCAAGGTTATCGAATCAAATTTGCCTTGAAAGGTTATCATGTGAGCTAGCATACCCTGATCCATTTCAAGATTCCACTTGGGTGCTTCAGCACCTTCCTCGAGGTCAACGTCTACATCAAATGACCGTGAATTTTTCGAACTTGATGATGTTCCAACGTAATGAACGGTAAGCTGTAGGCTAAAGACATTAGGACTTGTTTCACCATATCGTTGATCGTTGTCAATTTGAGGAAAAACTCGAGTTCGATTTGGAATCACTTGAAATGTAGCAAGTTGTGTGGGTTGTTTGAACTTGACAACCGTTTCATTGAGATCTGTAGAAGCTTCTCCATTTCTTTTTTGTTTGTCGTTCAAAGAATATGCTGAGGTTCCATTTAATGTACCATAGAAAACTAAGTCTTGATGAGTTGAATGGATGTGAACCATTATTTGAATGGGTCAAGACTCAAGAAGCGTTCAAAGTCAAATGTGACCTTTCAACAGTTTTCTTCGAGACTCACTTCAAGAATTTGAATACTCAAAACGTCTATAAGCATATCTTACTAGCAGAATACTCAACTCTCGCTAGAAGCATAGTCAACCAAACTGTACACGTTGTGGGTGTGAAATTTGAAAAAGTACAAACGATCAACTTCAAGGAGTCTTTTGAGTCTTTTGCTCGAGCTCAGCTATATTTCCGCGCGATTTTGTCCTGCTCCGTCATCCTTCTTCATCATTTGCTACTGGATTGAGAGCTAAAGTTTTCATGCCTGACTTCTTGTTCTCAAAGTATATCTAGGAAAACACCTTGAAATTTCGTAAATTTTAAATCTCAAAACTACACACTTGTCTGCCAGGTGAACTTCAAGATTCAGGAAAAAGGGTCAACTTGATTTTTTCTTTGAACTCAATCTGATTAAAAAAGGAATCAGTGCACAACCAGAGTTATGAAAAATCATTTACATTCATCTGTTTCAAGAAATGAGAAAAAAAGTGCCCATAATAAGATAACAATAGTGATTTCATTCATTTGGGGTTATCAACTCTAGCAGTAAATAGATGATCTCATTTCTCATGAATTTATTAGAAATAAATGCCACAAGGTATCAATTATGTTGATCAAATGAGTGGACAAATCAACAAAATGACAAGATGTGAGGATGAGAAGCTGAAAAAATGGAAGAAAGAAAAAAACATGAAAAAGCAAGCCGTTTCAAAAGAGGTTATGTGTCTTCTCAACATCCAATCTCTCCCTCAAATCTTCAAGTTAAAGAAAATCTTTTGCAGTCTCTTGATCGTCAAGACTGATCGCAGTTATATCATGCCTCTCACTTTCAGGAAGACATGAATTATATTTTTGATGTAATCGATTTGCTAAATGAGAAAGCTCTGGAGTACCCGAGTAACGGTGAAAAATTGTTGAATAATAACCACTGATGACGTTTGGTAATGGTTTTGTCATAGGACTTGTGTATTTTAAAGTGAAGGTGTGCACACTTGCTAAACATTGTCGTATGTAAAGCGCTTTCTCTTCTGTCAAGGTTGGATATCCATCACGAGTCATTGCTAGATGGATCCTATTTGTCATCTTATCAGCAATCTTGTCCAGAACATCCTCATCATGATTCACAGACAGTGGCTCAGGAACTCTTCTAAGGCTTGTCTTTGGCGACCCTTTTTGGCTTGCTTCTGAAGACAATTTTTGGCTTGCTTCTTTAAACATGTCTTTGACCGACCTTTCGAGCAAAGAAGAATTGTATGACCATTTTCTATAGTCTTTTGTTGCTTTTGCTTTGTTATCTTCTCGCTGATATAGTTTATGTTTCAAGGATCGCAAGAACATCCATAAATTGTGTGCTGGATTTGTGAAGTTTTCATTCTGTTCTAGATGCTCTTTCATTGTTTTCCGGACGATATCTTTCGTACCCTTCTTCAGTTCAGAGGTGATCGTGAACATAGGATGAAAGGCATCTGAATTCTGAGCCTTTATGAGTGATAATATTTTGCTGCTCGCCATAGGTTCTAACGCATGGATCATTGTGGCGAATTGATTTGGTGTCGTGTCCTCGCTTGCTTCTGTAAGTTTTTTTAAATTTGAGAGTTGTCCTTTTTCACTTTTTTCCTCTTGATCCGCAATGTACTTGGTGAAGGCTTTAGCATTGACTGAAACAGGTAAGCAAAACCAAATTTTGAGATCCAGTTCAAATCAAGAAAAATCTTTCTCTTTACTGTGGATTGATTGAGGACTCACATTCTTCTACATATTTTTTGACTACTTCTTCACCCCTTGGATCTTTGGATTAAAATCATACAGGTAAGATTTTATACATTAGAACTGCTATCATTACCGTAAACAAATATGGGACATGTTTACCTTTCTCTAACAATTCTGAACCTGAAGGCCAGTTGACTTTGCAAAAGGTTCAATGTCAATGTAACGAAGAGAGAGCAACATAAGAAGATCATGGAGAGCCCTTTGTAAGAAAATGAGGTGTTCACGCTCGACGCTGTGAACCTAGGACAGAAACGAGTGCTAAACTCGACAAACCTTTAAAAAGGTTTAACAAAACTATCAGCCCGTGTTGACAAGACACGCTGAGGCAACTAAAACGGACGAGTGCTAAACTCGACAAACCTGGAAGGGAACAGGGAGGATTATGAAACTGAAGTTTAGAATCTTTTTCCTTGATGAGGGAAAATGAGAAGCTACAGCAACATACAACACACCTTTAAAAAGGTTTAACAAAACTATCAGCCCGTGTTGACAAGACACGCTGAGGCAACTAAAACGGACGAGTGCTAAACTCGACAAACCTGGAAGGGAACAGGGAGGATTATGAAACTGAACTAAATGAGAGAGAATTTTGAAGTGAAAGAGATGATAGAGATGATAAAGGAAAACAAATAATCATAGTAAGGTGGTTCAGTAGAATTCTTAGTATTTTGATAAAAGAAAAAGTTTAATTGATAACTCACGTTTAGAATCTTTTTCCTTGATGAGGGAAAAAGTTCTAAATGTGAAGAGAGGCAAGATTATAAGAGAAAATGTCACAAAGATAATTTTGGGATTTAAACATCATGTCCACATCCTTATTCAGTTTAACTCAACTACAATCCCAATCCGGCGAGACCCTCTATATCTTCCTCATCACACCTAGTTCATAAATCCCATTTTGTCAAGACATTCTAACATTTCTTCCACCTAACCTTGTACCTTGACACTGATTGAATATGTTTCAATTTGAATCCTCCTTGCTACACTCCTTTCTGTCAACGCTACACACAGTCAATACTTTTGACTCCATAACCGTCATTGGTTTTGACCCAATCATGATTTACTCCAACACCCTTACATAGTGCTGTTGCTTCTGACGAGCCATCAGGCGAGTTGGAAGATAATTTGTCTGCCGCCTGACCCCCTGAGGCTGAAATAAGTTCGGGAGAAAAGATCGATTAAATATGGTTTCAAAGGCGAAAGAGATGGAAAATTGCAAACCTTTGTGTGGGCTCTGCAGTCTTTTCAAATCAGGTGATGGAGGGGCTTCTCTCAATAGAGGTCCGAATTTCACCAAACGCTTCTTTTTGTCACGGCGGAAACGAGTCATCAGATCCGCTACAAAACTGAATCTCATGCATGAACCCTGATTGCTACTCGTTAATCTGTTTAAACTTGGGTGTGTCTCCATGCCCGGCCACGATTCTGTGCTCTGATGATTGGGTTCAACACGACAGAACTGTCTACTGGGATCTATTGAAGTGGAAAATTATTTAGCTTCAAAATGCAATTGCCTTACCAAGTCTCTTTGGCTGTATTAAAGCGGTCGAGCAACTCACCGGGATGGGCTCCATGGTAAGATCACTTAAAATGGTTATTACCTGTGAGAATCAGGTAATGAGCTTTAATGAAAGCTGCACACTGATCGAAATAGGGAGAGAACAATACCTGTGAGAATCAGGTAATGAGCTTTAATGAAAGCTGCACACTGATCGAAATAGGGAGAGAACAATCTGATGAAAGAAGATTGTACGCGACAAAATGTTTAAGTTCGATAAAGAGAAAGGGCGAATGAAAAGAAGCACAAATCATCTTTTATATCGAAGTAAACAGGATGTGACGTCATGTCTATCTAACCTATGATCAATGTAATGATGTCATAAAAGAAAAGAATCACAGCGAAATGTAAATAAGCCATTAAGATCACATTACGATCTCAATTCCCCCCCGTCTTTGTGACATCATGTAAGCCTAACAAAGAGCAAAACTTTCGATGTTTGATTGGTGTTAGCGCTTTCGTGAATATATCAGCAATCATCTCTTCTGTTGAAACGTAATCTACTTCTAATTGTTTATCAGCAACTAATTCACGTAACCAGTGATATTTGACATCGACATGTTTTGTCCTAGATTTAAACTGTTCATTTTTAGTCAACGCAATCGCTCCTTGATTGTCTAAATTTAACACCAGAGCACTCTTTTGTTGAACTTCTAAGTTATGCAATAAATGAGAAAACCACACTAAATCTTGTCCACCCTCGTAAGCAGATCTGTACTCAGCTTCAGTTGTTGAAGTTGCTACATTTTCTTGTTTTTTACTCTTCCAATTAACCGTGCTGTTTCCTAGCATTGTACAATAACCACCAGTTGACCTTCTTGTGTATGGACAAGATGCGAAATCAGCATCAGCAAAACCTCTTAACTCTAATCCTTTTCCTCCTAAAACAATTCCAACAGTCTTCGTCCCCTTCAAATACCGTAGAACTCGTTTGAATGCCTGCCAATGTAAGATTGATGGTTTGTTGAGGTGTTGTGATAATTGCAAAACTACAAAAGAAATATCGGGCCGTGTCGCATTGTTCAAATACATCAATTTACCCACACCATGTCTATAATTTTCGTCTAATACTCTAAACTCCTCCATCTCTTCTTCTGAACCTGGCACCAAATAGCTCCCTGGTATCATTGGACACCCCACCGATTTACAATCAGTCATGTTGTATTCTTCTAATAAATTCTGAATGTACTGTGATTGAGTTAAAGTGATAGTACGCTCTTCTCTGTTTCTTGTTACTTTCATTCCAAGAATATATTTGTAATCTACATCTTCATCCATTTGAAATTTCTCAGTTATCAATCGTCGAAAGCGTTGAAAGTCGTCAGTTGCGATTGTCAAGTCGTCCACATGAACGTGCACAATGCATTTCCACGCTGGATCATTCGAAATAAACAAACTAGGATCTGATGAAGATGGCATGAGAGAAATTGAGTGAAAGAATGCTCGTAGACAGTCGTACCAAACTTTAGGTGCTTGTTTCAGGCCATAAAGTGCTTGCTTCAACTTCAAAACTGATGATATCGTAGCTCCTTTAATTGTTAAGCCTTTCGGAATACGCATGTAAATCGTCTCTTCAGGTGTTCCATTCAAAAACGCCGCAACTGCATCCATCTGAAATAAATCAAGGTCGTAAGCTGCTGCCATAGCATTGACTGTTCTAAGAGTGGCTATTCTTCCCGTAGGAGCAAATGTCTCATTATAATCTTCTCCATACTCTTGAGAAAACCCTTGCGCACATAAGCGTGCTTTGAACTTGATTAATTCACCATCACCCCCCATTTTCTTCTTAAATACCCAGGTTGTTCCTATAGCATTCTTTCCTGATGGCAACTCACACACTTCCCACACTTTCCTTCTTTCCATGTTCTCCAATTCGTTGTCAATTGCTTTCTTCCAGTCGAAATGATTATCTGATTTAAGTGCTTGAAGATATGTCTTTGGATCAATGCTCACTCCTGCTACAGCAGTAGTTTGCATCGCACGCATAGTCAGATGATAGCCAGGCGTAAAAGCATTTCGAAGAATTACATTTGATTGAATTAACTTCTGATCATTCTCATACTTCTTAACTTCAAACTTGAGAGCCTTAGCACACCGTTTCCTGGAAGCACGAGCACGTCGTCGTTGAGCTAGATTCGCACGATGCCGCTTAGTGCCAGGGACTAAGATGTTTGACTCATCCACAACACTTGAGATGTCGTTCGGTGCCATGATGGCTAGAGGTTGCCAATCCCAACCAGGACGTTTTTGAGGCACAATGGGCGCTATTGGTGAAACACGTGGTTGAGCTTGTTGCTGTTGTTGCCAAACAACTAATTGACCTGGTGGTGTTGAAGGCGGTGTGCTGAGATCCATTGGAACAATTGGAGGAACCGGTATGTCAGGCACTAACTCAATATCCATTGGAGCTGCAGGTCGAAGTTGATTGGCTGGAAGTTGATTGATAGGTCTAGGAATGTCAACTGGCACTAACTGACCAGGTGATGAAGGCGGTATGAGTGGATCAGCCGGCACAAATGATGAAGAATCTTCTGAACTAGAGGAAGGAGTCGTAAAAGAATCAAGAATATCTTCCACAAACTCTCCAAACACTTCATCATTTGAATTTCTAATTCCAGGAAAAGAATTTACGTCAAAGGTAACGTCATGTGAATAAATTGTTTTACCATTCTCAAGACGAATCCTATAGTTCTTCATTCCAAGCTGATAACCTAACAAAACACCTTTGTATGATGTATCATCAAATTTCTTGCGGAACTTTTTCGGAATCAGAACGTATGCTCGACATCCAAAAGGTTTCAGGCGACTCATGTCAAATGTTCGACCAAACCATAAATCATAAGGTGTTTGATTTCCGATTTTAGCCATTGGAGTGATGTTCTCTAGAAAAACGGCAGTTGAAACCGCTTCTCCCCAGAAAGAAATTGGCAAACGAGATTGTTTTAATAACGTTCTGGCTTTCTCACTAGTTGTTCTGTTGCCTCGTTCAGACACAGGATTCTGTTCGGGAGTATAAGGAGCACTAATGTACGAAGTCGTTCCGTTCTCAGAAAGTGTTTTCAAGAAGACTTTTGACATGTACTCTCCTCCACCATCATTTACTAAACTGACAATCTTTCGATTATGAAATGTCTCCACTTCAGCTTTAAACTTCATAAAACACGCAAAAGTTTCATCTTTTGATTTCATAATGTAAACGTATTTATAATTAGTAAAAGCATCAGTAAGTTTAAAATAATAATGACCTCCTCCTTCAGATACAGATGCGATCTTTCCACTAAGATCACTATGAATGATTTCTAAAGGAAAAGATGGTTTTGGAAATGATTTTGAATAAGGTAAACGATGCCCCTTTGATAAGGCACACTCCTCACAAAACCACTCCTCCGGCGCTTTGACTCCATACATCACTTTCAAGCGCACTGGATTGGTGTGACCGGACTGTCTATGTAAAACAGTATAATCAGATGAAGTAACATTGTTGCAGATTTTGAGCGAAGACGTACCGAAGACGACGCTAAGTTCGATGACTCGATTTCTGATTTGACCAGTGAATCCACCAGTTCCTTCTTTCGTCATCAAGATAACTCCATGTTCATGAAATAGATCGTAACCATCTTCCAATAAACATCCCATACTTATCAAAGAATTCCCAAGTGTAGGAACATGAAAAGCTGGCAGAGAAATTTCTTCACCGAAAGATTTAGCAACAATATCACCTTTTCCAGCAATATGAATAGATTTTCCATCCGCTAAGGATACTTCTGAGTCAATAGATTGATAAGTTTTAAAAAGATTCTTATCGGCTACCATATGATCTGAGCATGCACTGTCTAATAATACAGCTTCTGCCGGTGAAGTCGAAAGACATGAAAGTGCCGAAGTCTCAACAACATCGTCAAGATACGACTTTTGCAAGATAGCCGTAGTTGCTCGAGATTTGGAGTTTTGAGGACGTGGATTTGGTCAAGGTTTCAGATGTGGAAATGCTACCCAACACTTATCAGGAATATGATTGGTCACAGCAGGATTATGTCGTCCATTCGAGCATCGTGGATACGGATAGGTTCGAGAAGGAACAGCAGCAGCAGTAGTCATCAAAGCTACTGAGTTGTCATCTCAATGACGTTTGTTGAAATCCACAAGATGAGAATCAAGCATTTTTAGAACCTGCTTGTAAGTAAGCTTGGTTTCTTCTGATCGTTTGGCGGTAATGAGAGCAACGATTGTCTCCATTGAATCTGGGAGTTTGAACAGAATACCTTCACATAACATCGGTTCAAGAATCGGATTGGTAGTAGGACAACCACAAGCATCCATGAGAGAAATGCTTTTTCGAACATCCTTGATATATTGATCAAGGGTACCGAAAGGAATTCGAAAGAAATTTCGAAATGCTCGACCTTGACTGTCAGCAGAAGTCGATTGAAATTTCTCCTTCAAATGTTTCCATATACCAACAGGATCTGAAAGAAGACCTTCTGTTTCGATTTGAATGTGATAAGGTTCTGAGAGATAACTGTACATTATACCGGCTGCCTTGTTCTGTCGAGTCACGTAGGCTTCAAAATTGATTTTTCCATCAACATCGTTAGATGGAGGAACAGGAACGTGAGTAGGAATCAAGAATTCTTGTAGACCATGAGACATCAAGTAACCAGTAACATCTCCTTTCCATTTGGTGTAGTTGTCATCGTTGAGTTTGACGATGTGAATCTTCGAATCGGAAGGCATGATGATGAATGTATGCGTCGGTTTTTGACTCTGTTGACCGTTTTCGATCAAATCAAGATTTGACGTGTGCGTTTTAAACTGTACAATTGCGTTTAAAAATATGAATATGATGATGGTGGTAGCTAATCGCAAGAGCGCTGGGCTCATAACCACTTAAAATGGTTATTACCTGTGAGAATCAGGTAATGAGCTTTAATGAAAGCTGCACACTGATTGAAATAGGGAGAGAACAATTAATCTTCTTAAATCCGGATTCACCCCCCCAATTCACGGATTCCTGCGCCCTTCGGCAGCAATCGAGTAATTGGAGTATGAAACACCGGATCTATCCGCTTCTCACTTGAGGCCCACTTTCGTGAATAGCCGTGACTAGCGTTGGATGATGCTGATTCCAAACCTCATCGACGCCCTCTACTTATACCCGTTTGCTATCGCTTCCGCCTCACGCACCGTATGCCTACGGCCTGCTTTTACTCTCATCCTTTCCTTATTGGTTGATCTCCTCCTCCCGAAATCCGATCTGCTTTTTGACTTTGCTTATCTAACCATCTACTTTTCTCCAATGCACCTCACGCGATCACTACACTTCCATTTGATTGATTCGATAGCAATAAGCTCCGATCACGAAGTGCTCCACAACCTGTCACTTTTCTGCCATGGCTCTGTCCGTTTATTGTCCGGAACCCATCTTTATAAGCGTGGCATCGCTCTCTTTTCCCATCTGTCTTGCTTTCTGTGTGTTTTTCGAAATGCTCTCCTTCCTCGCTCACATCGGCGGTATATCTCCCCTCCCTTTGTTACAAATGAATTACGGCTGCGCATCCCTATTTCTGTGCCACCCTTTTGGACGCATGTTTCTTCGCCGCAGGCATCGAACAAACATGCTTTTGTGAAAAGCTACCGTTCCTGTGTTCATGTCAACTCATCTTTCCTTTCCCAATGTATGCGTTACCTATTTGCAGGCCTGCAGCTATGACCACTTACCCGTTTTATGCTCCCTACAATGATCCATATGCTTATCACGTTTAGCTATTGACATGTGCTTTCTTGGTATCTAATTGCCTAACAGGTGCTTTTGCTTTTTGCACTAGGTATTTCCGATCACGAATTTATCCTCGGCGTCTCCTTCCTCTGAACAATGTTTTGCTTTCCTTTGTGCTTTCTTATAGCATGATGCTTTCCAAATCCCGAGATGTGTCCGCGCATGTACTACATATTGTCTATCTGCTGTTCTTCTGATACTTTGGTCTTTTGTACCTCATGGTGTGAAACATTGGTTCCCTTGAATATGGCATTTTAACTCCATAGTCCGACCCATTGTTCGGTCTCCTCCATTTTTTACTATATGTGTTCAAACCGATCTTTATTCATGTTTTCGGTGTCTATTGTTGGACAATAGTCAATAGGACGAGCTAATGATATGATAGTGGTACCATTCGACCAATCACTACTTTTCACATCAGATATATAAGGCCGTCCTCATGCGTCAATTCCTCCTCCATCTTTGCAACTCTTCGGCTACTACACCTCACATACCGTACCTTGAAAGTCATCTGCTCAATCCTATCCAAATTCAATATCATCTGCTCAATCCTATCCAAATTCAATACTATGCAAGTCCATCGAAGTGTGTATAACTCCTTTCATCGCGGCACTGGTTGTTTCAAATGGCACGTCGCAGCCACATGGGATCACCCTTTGAATAGTGACTTTTTATTCAAGGTTGTTACTAAGATAATGAACGGTTAGTCGGTAATTAACTACGCTGGTCTCGAATTGATCTGACCTTTACCATCGCTTTCTCAGATTATCGTAATCCCAAGCGCTCCGTTAATCGCACAGGAACTTTGGTACATTCTACAATGGGTCTTCGTTACCGCTTTGTATTCAAACTCTACTCAACTGGAGTGGTTTTGTTCATGATAATGGAAGAACCCACCGCGTCTAGAGTCGCGGACCTGTCTTCAACGTTGGCTTTGATACGCTTAGCCGAGAAATGAACATTCATTTTGCTTAAGTGAATCCTCTGTTACTCTGTTTCTGCTCATCTAAGAATATGCTATCGTTCTGCTGTTGTACTATCCTTTGCTATCCTGTTTTCTTTGCCTGTTATGGTCTTAGCCGTTGTTGTGAACTGTTTAGTTGTCCCCTTGCCTTTCAATTCTACCTCGGCTGTATTTGTTTGTCTTATCTCCGGCATAAGATTCTAGAGATTCCGCATCACACTTCCAATCATTAATGTGCCCATTTTGAGAGTCTTCTATTGCTTCGACTTCTGAACATTTGTGCTGCGGAGTTGTATTCCTAATCCACGTTTCGTGATCCCGTCTGCCGCATGCATCTTGATAATTTCATCTACTGTGATTATACCTCGGGCTTCCCATCCCTCATTGTCAACTCCTTCGATACTTACGCCGGTAACATCTTCATGCGCGTTCGGTATCATCCTGATCAGTTTTGAACTGACTTGAGCCGACGCTCCCATGACTGCTCATCCAGTCAACACCATATTCCGCCGTCTCCACTTATAAAGTTTGTGTCGAGTAAAATCAGGGTTTGTGAATGACGCCTCCTTCATGATTGCACTGTAACTCAGTTTGTTCCAGTGGGACCCGGTTACTGAGTTGCGCTGCAGTCAACCATTAATTTCAGTCAATTGTCTGTGCTCAACTCCAAGCTTCTCTTCAGGTTATTTTAAAAGCATCTGCTTTTTACGCTGTTGCTTTTCAATAGTAGAACCATCGATCTATAATTGTCACTCACTTGGAAGACAAATCCATTGTCGCTTTCGTGTTCTTTGGTGGTGATCGAGAACTCAAAATATATGATATACAGGTAATTCACTTATTCTTTTTTATTGTGCGATTCGATCCTCAACCATTTAGTGCATGAATACAGGACCCTCTTCTTTGCATGGGCCCTATTGATTGCGAGGCTTTTCAACAAGCGGTTGTGTAATGTGCTCTTCGTTTGGACTGAGCCTGCAAATTGTGCTCCATGCTTTTCGAAAAGCTGGCATCAAGCCTGGCCTGCGTTTTGCGGTCCGGACGCTACGTCTCCGTTCTTGGCCTATTCATGACCGTTTAAGGAAGCAGGTGCCTGTCGTACTTTTCCATATTCCAGCTGGTCGCATAATATGTAGTGGTACTTTTTGAAATGACTTTGGTAAAGCTATATATGTCGGTGTCTGGCGATGATCCTTGGTTTCCATTCACTTCCAACTCCTCTCAGATTTCCATCGCCTTGAAAATAATACTCCGCTGAAACAACAAATTCACTATCCATTTGATCAACCGCATTTATAACTTACTTTCAACAATCGACAAGTTATACAAATAACAATACCTCCCAACTATGTTAAAGTCATCTTTCAAGCCCTCAAAGACGGCGCGATCTGACGCGACGACGGGTACATCGAACAGCAAGAAAAAGAATCACCCCTTCTATATCTCTTCTTTGTTTGACGTGTTCGCGCAAGTCAGTATCATTCTGGTCTATGTCTATTGTAACATCACAGCGCTGATTAATCTCAAACAGCTCGAGTCCGACATTCAAGGCACTTGGGGGTTCAGGCACAGCCATATGACTATCGTGACTCGGGAGCCCGATGCTGATGAATCCATGGAATGGGTCATCAAGGGTTCCGCTTACGGTGGTATCGAGATTATTCTGGAAGTAGATGGTGTATATTTTTTAAAGGGTCGCTTGATCGCATTAAACCAGCCTGGCGAACAAAGATTCTACTACGAACCCAAGAATCAGATTTTTGCGACAACTTCACGGGATCTCAAAGGTGACTTATTGAACTCAGTCAGCGTCTTTGGGCTTGGCGTAATCATTTCGCGTGACGTGGAACCTGTGTCGGCAGGAAAAGACACGATCGTTGTCGTAGTGCGACACACGGATTACAACCCCGAGGTAATTTGATCCATACGTTTAATAACGACTGTTGCTAACTTTTCAATCCTAGATCTGTGCTTTGAGTTCTTTTGACGTCCAATATAGGTGTCCTTGGTCTCCATTAATGGAAAAATTGCAGCCTTTACTGATCCCTAACCGAGAAGTTCAGTTGGTCAGCCATATAATAGGGAAAGATATGTCCAAGCATATGTGGATTGTCGAGGTTCGTTCGTCTTCACTCCTTTCAAATGCGTGACATCTACAAAATATGATTTTCGCTATCAGATCACTGGAGTGAGCGTTACGTCTGGCCCTTCGTCCACTGGCGTAGCCGCCACCCCAATCTCAGGCAAAACTGTTGTAACTCCAGGATGTAGACCACGGGGAAAAATGTAGGGTTTCCTTCCATCGAGTTTTGCCTGCCACATCTAATGTTGATTGTTCTGTGTTTAGGATATTCGATGAGAATCATTTGGTTCAAGGGTCTTCAAAGGACTTGAACCTAGGGTTAAATGTCGATGAAAAGCCAACCGAATCACCTAAGAAAAGAGCAAGAGCGACTCCAGTCCGTAACGCGGTCAAAACTCCCAACAAAAAACCTAAAAAAGCCAACTCACCCCGAGGGCAAAATCCAACCACGGTTCCAGAAGCTTCGAAAGACGGGGAAGGACCAACTGCCACGCAACCGAGCAAAGGAAAAGCAAAAGCAAAGGCTATACCCGAGGTATTGTCCGAAGAACAATCTGTTGCAGATGAGGAGAGTGACGAGGACTAGGAGAATTTTGGGGTTCCTTTCCCTTTTGATCAGATTTTTTCATTACCTTTTGAATTGTTGTAATAGTTTGTTATCCTGAAATCAGTCATTCATCGGATGTTTCATTTCCATGGGGGACATGATGAGTCCTTTTACCTGATTTGTTCCACTCCAGCTTGTGACATATCGACTTTTGAGTCCGTGGTTGAAATTCTGCTCCACTATGAAAAGTGAGCTGCTTGACGCCCTCGAGGTATTTTGACACCGCATGACCACATTGACGCTGGTGCCCTCCCGGTCATTGTTGGTTCAGAGTCGTGTCCATATGTGGAGGCTTTTCGCGAATAAGGACTGTGTTGCAGTGCCTCTGCCGATTACACACCGCTGAACTGTACTAATAATGTGACAGGGAACCTTTCCATGGCTGCGTAGGTCTCAGCACACCTGCTGTAAAAATGAGATGTGCTATTGGAAATTAGAAAGCACCCGATTCCAAAAGACTCCCTGTGCTTTTAAAAGCAGTGCATTTGAATAGTTTTGAAACCGAATGCTCATACATCGAAATGCATCGGGAATCTGAGATATATATAACGTTCCTCTGAATAATGCGGCATACATCAACTAAAGTAACCAAACATTCATCTTTCACATTATTGTGATTCCCGATTTCTCTCTTTGTCCGCCTAATTCCTTTGGTTCTCTCTAGACGCGCTTTTCAGTGCTTTCTCTTTTCTATTTTCTTTTCTTTCTTTTGTTTTCTTTTCTATATTGCTTTTCCAAGAAGACGGATCTCGCATAGATCCGTCCCGATCACTATTGTTACCAATTGTAGCTCGGATCCAGCTATACCGGATCCGGCCATTCTTACCGATCGTTGTACTTCATCCCTAGGCAATCCCTTGCCTCATATTGTATCTCTCTATTTCCTTATTCGTACCTCACTTGTAGACGCTCGCATATATAAGCAGCTCGCATCTCCCAAGGAAATGGATTCATCAAGTTACTTCCTGCTCATTCTCGCCCCAAAGATTGTGAGTAGATCACAAATATATATTTGTGTGTTCTTTATTTCTTTTTCTCTCTAACTTTAAATCATCGCCATACCTGATATCAAAGAAAGCTTAGTTATTAATCTGTGTTCTGTTTTTCTCCAAACTCTGTGTTCCTTCGTTCTCCGTTCACAGATATCCTCACCGGAAACCTTACCCAGAAGCAACAAACCCTCACACCCAGATTAACAACTCGTTGTAAGCCTTAAAATTCCCTAGCTAGTTATTTTATTTCCTCTCGACACTTTCCTTGATTAGTTAGAACTCATTAAAAGAAATCTTTCCTATCCCTTACACACAGGAAACCTACTATTAACACCGTTAAACCAAAAGCTTTTTACCAACCCTTTATATCTCGATTTTTGAATCATTGAACATTCTTTTTGAAGAATTAACGTACGTACCCTTAGACTCTGATCAAGTCTTATTTAAAGAATAATTTTTAATAATCCCTTCCGATTCTTTACGAACAGAATCTCATTCAACCATGGAAGAAAACTTGGGATTTGTCTCGATCCCAGCTGAAGACCTGCGTCTTATCCGAGCTCAACTTGAGCAAGTCAACATCGACACTCAAAACAACGCTCAAAATCATGCTCGCGAAATTGCTGAACTTCGCAATCAACATCACTTGATTTACCAACAGCAATCTAATCAGATCCACCAACTAGAAGCCAATCAACACCAACATACCAACCGTGCTAGCGACCCGAACAAACCTGATCCCTTTCGAGCCGAACCTAGAAAGTTCACCGGCCCTGGCGATAACGCGAATTTATGGATCTCGGAATTGGAATCCAATTTTAAGATGCATAGATACCCAGAGTCGGCCTGGGGTGAAATGTTGGGTTCATACTTAGATGAAGAAACCCACATGTTTTGGCACGGTATCAGAACCAAGCAAGGTGGATCAATCACCGATTATCAAGACTTTAGAACTCAATTCCTTGAACATTACAACTTCGACCTCATGATTGAAGAAAACTTAGAAAAATTGAAGGTCTGTTATTTCAAGAACAACAACATCCACGATTATATTTTACGGTTCCGTAAGATCATGGCTCATATGCCTGAGGATGAAATGAACTTCAAACAGCGCAAGTTCTTTTTCCTCGACAAGCTCCCTGAATATTACCGAGACAAAATTAACAACAAAGAAGAACTACGCAAGAAGCAAGACATGGAGCTTGTGTACGCTGCTGCAAGAGAAGCAGAGCGAAGTGCGAAGATCAACCATCGCAGCTACAAGAATTGGGATGATAAGGCTCCCTCGACTTCAAAGAATCACGAGAAGAAACCTCAATTTAACCCTTCTCATCGCCACAGTCACCATTACCGACCTTCGTCTAGCTTTGGCAAACCTCATGCTGTCACAAACAGCTCTGGTCCGATGGACCTAGACTTGGCCGATCTCGCCAATGTCGAGTGTTACTCCTGTCACGGCAAGGGACATCGCGCGAACGCCTGCCCTCGCAATAAAAACAAGTCGCCTAACTCGCAAAAACAACGACACAACTTCTCAGGAGATAGACGCAAGCCAAACTTATTACTGATCGATCATGATCCTACTTTTCCTATTCCATCCACTTCCCACTCTCTTGATTCGTTCATTCCGCCCTTTCAAGATTTTGAATTACAAGAACAAGCTGAATTCACCACGCCTTTCTTTGATTCTGAAGGACGTATGCTAGGCGCCTCAAGAGAATCTTCAGAAAGCCTTGACGGACCTACTGAAGACGGTCGTGAATCACTAGCTGACTACCAGAAGACTTATTTAGAGAAGTTAGAAAGGTTAGATTCCAAGGCCTTGTTGGAAATGCAAGAAGCTCGTGAAGCAGTTGGTAAATTAATGGAGGATGAACTCAAGAGTGGATTCCGATGCTGTAAGTCCTGTCGAGCCTATGGTAACGAAGATAGCCCCCCTACTGTTTCTAAAGGAATCGATTACTTTTCTTTAGATGGACTTCGCATCGACCAAGCCGATCTCAAGAGATCCCTATCCACCAATGAAGAAACCGAATCAGAGCGCCTCCCTGCACACGACCCAGATGGAAAACACGATATCTACTATGCCAATATCAAAGAACTCATCAACAAGGATCCAAGTAAGAAGAAATTCAAACTAGATCGCTCCCTAATTGATGGTTATCAACATACTCGGGTACCCTTCAATTCCCCTGTTGCTGAAATTGACCGACTGGCCCTAGGTGAAAAGGAACTCGAATGTGTGGAAGGCTGGAACAGAATCTTAAGCTCCACCTACACGAGCCGAGCCGCAGACGACGATTTCGACTCAGTCTGTACCCCGGATGATGAAGATTCAAGTGTCAAGGCCATTGAACACCCCTCCGAAATCGAATTTGAGATCACGTCTGATATGACGAACTATGAAGAACTCAAAGCCCGAGCTATCGACAACCCACCAACTCCTATTGACTTGAGTATGGTGGAACTCGCCGCGCACCAAGGGCCTGGCAAAACATCACTGCCAATCTACCCGTGCCACTGGCGTAACATGCCTTTAGACGCAATTATGGATACTGGAGCTGCCGGTAATTACATCTCCTCAGATCAAGTCGAAACTATGTTAGAATTGAATCCAAGGAAAATCAAAATCGAAGATGTTATAGCTCAAGGAGTACGCCTGGCTAACGGCAACCAAGAAACTGTCTCCAAAGTTGCCACTTTTCAAGCCGAAATGTATCATAGGGATACCCTTGAAACCTTCGAATTCTCCGTTTCAGCTTATATACTTCCTCTTCCTAATATCGCCCTTATTTTAGGATTACCCTGGCACCGAGAACACAAGCCTTTGATTGATTTCGATACTGGAACTTATACTGTCAAGAAATTCTCAGGTATCTTTGACATCCAACCTAAAGAAGGCGAACCAAAATTATTTACAATTGACAATAACAATTTTGGCCAAGGTTTAGAACGAGAAGCAAAAGTCATCGCTCCCGACTGTTTCTCGGACGAATTGGTTATCAAAGATCGTAAGCAGAAGCATTACATTGATACTGGAGATAGTAAACCTATTAAGACTCACGGTCGCCCACACACTCCAGCAGAACACGAAATTATCAATCAATTTGTTAAAGAAGGATTGGAACAAGGCATCATCGAACGCACCGATTCTCCCTGGAGCTCACCCTTATTGCTTGTTAAGAAAGCCGATGGCTCGACAAGAGTCTGTGTTGACTACCGGGCACTCAACAAGGTAACAAGAAAGAATGCCTATCCACTTCCTCGTATCGACGATGCTTATCAATTTTTGTCTGGCTCAAACGTCTTTTCCACAATCGACCTGAAATCCGGATTTTGGCAGATTCCCATGGCCCCAGAAGATAAAGAAAAAACAGGATTCACCTGTCGACAAGGACACTTTCAGTGGAAAGTAATGCCATTCGGTTTATGTAATGCGCCAGCCACCTTCCAAGAAATGATGAATGATGTATTGAAAGACGTAATTGACAAATTTGCCTTGGTTTATTTAGATGACATCATTATTTACTCGAAAAATGAACAAGATCATATTGAACACATCAAGACTGTCTTTGAGATCCTCCAAAAAGAAGGTTTGGTTGTATCAGTTAGAAAATGTCAGTGGGGTAAACCATCCTTACTCTTTCTCGGACACATTGTGGACGGCAACGGCATCAGGACAAACCCCGAAAAAATCGCTAAGATAGTTGAGTGGCCGTCCCCTTCCAACATCTCCCAAGTACGAGGATTCCTAAATCTCTGTACTTATTATAAACGTTTTATTCTCAAATTTTCTTCAATTGCATCCCCGCTTTACAAGCTCACTGAAGGATCTCCCAAGCCGGGAACTGCGATTAAGTGGGGGAAGGAAGAAGAAAACGCCTTCAACCAACTCAAAAAGTTACTGTCAGAAACAGTACCTCTCCAACACCCAACACCATTCAAACCATTCGTGCTGGATACCGATGCTTCTGGAACGAACATCGGTGCCGTGTTGCAACAAGATTCAAGTTTCGAAGTCCCTAAAGTAGGCAACTTCGACTATAACAACTACCAAAAACAACTTAAAAACAGTAACCTCCGCCCTATTGCTTTCGAATCACGCAAGCTATCAAAAACTGAACAAAACTACAGTGCTCAAGAACGCGAACTCCTCGCGATTATTCACGGTTTGAAACACTTCCGTGGTTTCGTAGAAGGTTCGCCCGTCCTAGTCCGCACCGACCACGAATCTTTGAAATATTTCAAAACTCAAAAACATGTTAACAGAAGATTAGCCCGTTTCGTAGATGAAATAGAATTCTTTGACGCTCATATCATCTACCGCCCAGGAAAAGAACAATTGGCGGCCGATTCTTTATCAAGAAAACCTAATACTTCCTCCGACGCCGATCCTCCCGAAACAGCTGACCCTCTCTTCAACATCAATGATCAAGAAGACCCCTTTCATCAATTGATCGAATTTAAATTAAAACTTGAAGCTGGAGTCGATCCGAACACTATTGGAACCGGAGATTTTATGATTGATGGAAAGAGATTGGTAAAAATTAATCTTGATGACCTCAGCGCTGACCAACTAACTGTACCTACCAGCTTAAGAGAAGCCGAGGCCATCTGTTTTCAGATCCATGAAGATCTTGGACACAGGAATGAGAAAGACGTCATCGACGCCGTACGAAAGCGTTATTGGTTTCCCTCCATCTCGAGAATCGTAAAAGAGGCCATCAGCTTGTGCGCCGCCTGCCAAGTTCACTCGGCACCCAACCAACAGCAAGCTTTACCCTTACAAGTCATTCCCCGAGGTAAACCCTTCCGTAAGTGGGGCATGGATTTTGTTGGACCGCTTGTGAAAACTGCTAACAACAACCAATACCTTGTCACAGCTATCGACTATGGAACAGGTTGGGCGTACGCAAAGCCACTGACGACGACTTCAGGGGACGCAGCAATCAAGCTCATCAAAGAAATGGTACTCAACCATGGAGTCCCGGATGAAATTGTCACGGACAACGGTTCCGAATTCATTTCAAAACCATTCCAAGAATTTCTCAAAAGTCTCGACATAAAACATGTACGAACATCACCCTATCACCCGCAAGCCAACGGCTTGATTGAGAGATTCCACGGCACCCTCATGAACAGCGTTCGTAAGTGTTGTAGTCCCTATAATCAAGATCGATGGGATGACTACTTAAATTCTTGTCTCTTCGCTTACCGCGCTTCTTACTCCCATTCAATGAAAGCCTCCCCTTACTTCATGGCTTATGGAGAAGAAGCCCGGCTACAATCCGAAGCTGTAAGTCTCACATTTGATAGTTCCTTAGAAAATCTCGAACTAATCCACAGGCAACGGAATATCAAAGTTCATAAACTCAGAAATACACGAGAAGACCTCATTAAGCTTCTCAATGATAGAGCTGGAGAACGATACGCTCAAACAGAACAATGTTACACAGAACGAAACCTCAGACCAGGAGACCGAGTCCTCCGATGTTTTGAAGGTAGACCATCAAAATTGCATCCTAAGTGGGATGGACCCTTTATTATCAAAGATGCATTCCCAAATGGTACGTTTGAACTAATGACCTCAAACGGTCATGTACTCAATGCTAAAGTTAATGGCTCTCGACTTAAAAAATTTAAAGGCACAACGGATGAGTTCTACTTCGCATCTCAACGATTACACGATCGAGACCAGCGAGCTAGAAGACGATCTCGTCAAACACCTTGATCTATCCAGTAGCCTTTTCAACATCATCAACGAAGATATTGCACCAGAAACTCTTGACAAATTATTCACCAAATTACAATCTTTGAAATACCTTATTTTACAAGAAAAAGGCAGACGCTACCAACTGAAAGGAAAAGGCAAACAAGTAAACTAGGAAGTTTACAGTCTTACAGAGGGGATGATGTGATTCCCGATTTCTCTCTTTGTCCGCCTAATTCCTTTGGTTCTCTCTAGACGCGCTTTTCAGTGCTTTCTCTTTTCTATTTTCTTTTCTTTCTTTTGTTTTCTTTTCTATATTGCTTTTCCAAGAAGACGGACCTCGCATAGATCCGTCCCGATCACTATTGTCAGCACACCTGCTGTAAAAATGAGATGTGCTATTGGAAATTAGAAAGCACCCGATTCCAAAAGACTCCCTGTGCTTTTAAAAGCAGTGCATTTGAATAGTTTTGAAACCGAATGCTCATACATCGAAATGCATCGGGAATCTGAGATATATATAACGTTCCTCTGAATAATGCGGCATACATCAACTAAAGTAACCAAACATTCATCTTTCACATTATCCACTTGATCTTTTCGAACAACACATAATTATTTACAAATTCTCCCTAACCTTGATCCTGGCCAGCTGCTTCAACCGACCTTTTACAACTGTATCCTTGAGAAGAATTTTCGAAGTCTGCCCCAAAAAGATCAGAATACCCAAAGAAAACTCCTCCAATTCCTGTCGTTCAAATCCTGCCAATCCTCGGAAAGTCTGGCCATAGAGTCATTTTTTGGACCGGCGTTTCTAGCGACGTTGGGACAAATCACCTCCTTATAGAAGCGAAACCCATCATCATCCTTACACTTCAATTGAGATTAGGTTCAACCTTCGTGACATAGTCACTCGATCTGATTCCAGGGCTGTTTATTGTGATCAAGTGTACGTTTGATTTGCATTTATGATGTCTTAGGTTGATTTCTCCGTTCTGCAGGACTATTCAAAACTTGAATTGTTTGTCGCTTTTCTTAGGTTTAGGCTTGAGCTGGCCACCACCCCCGAGTCAGTACAGATCGAAAGTCGCCGTCTGCAAAGGTCCAGTGATGGTGTTGACCAGGCGAGTCGTGTGTAACACCAGCACCGACAACAATCAAGCGACCATTTTAGCAAAATTCCAAGACCTGCCTTATCGGCTGGGGAAGCAGGATCACGAGTGTCAGTACTGCGGCGCGTTACGATGGGGAGAGGAGAGGACAAAGATTAAATCGAAACATCAAGAAGAAACATACTCGAACTGTTGTCAGCAGGGTTCGGTGACCTTGCCTTGGGGAGAATTTGAAGGACCTACTGTGCCCGACAGTCTCTTGAAATTATACACAGGATCAGACAAAGGTAAGTTTTTCTTGGTGCTCCCGTCGTGGCAAGAGCTGACCAATAATCGTAGATGCAAAGGAATTTCAGCAGAACATCACCCATTATAACAACGCGTTGTCGTTCACCTCTTTAGGGGTTAAAGTAGACCAATCTGTCGCAGGCCAGAAGGGTATCAACACATTCCGGGTCTCAGGTCAACTAGCGCATCGAATCGGATCGGCTTTGCCGGCCGCGAAGAAGGTTCCTTCTTATGCACAGATATATGTAGTTGGCGATGGGGGCGAAGGAGAGGTTGATGTAAGGTTGGGACATTTCAAGAATAAGAAATTATCGAAAGTCGTAATGCTCGAACTTCAGACCATCTTAAACGACATCAATCCTTATGCCGAGTTTTTAAAATCTTCAGCCAGTATCTTAGAGTCACAACCTTCACTCCGCCTCATGCTAAAAACTTTACCTCCAGGGAAGAGAGAATTGAAAACCTATAATAAACCTCGCCCCGAAGACGTAGCTGCAATCGTTGAGTCGTCTGAAACATTGGACGAAAAACCTCGCCACATTATCCTCCATCGGAAGAACAATAAGTTGAAACACATTACGGATTTGAGTACAGGTTACTTGCCTCTCCGCTATCCTCTAATGTTACCATTTGGGTCGCAACAATGGGACGACAACTACGTATCACCTACCGCAAAACAAAACAACAAAAGTAAGCCCGAAAGTACCGCTGTTGAAATCTTCCGGAACTGACAAGTGTTGCCTAGGAAAACGCGATGACTTTAAAGTGACCAATCTGGAGTGGGGCGCTTATCTCCTATACGAAAGGAATCAGCAATTTTCACCGTTCTTGCATGGTCGAAGGCTAACACAACAACTAATTGTAGATCTGTACCTCTGCGTTGAGCGAAGTCGATTGCGTTGGTATAAGAACAACCAAAAAACTATCAAAGCTGATTTGTACCAAGGCTTGCGGGAAGCTTTCGATGGAAACCAAGGTCCAACGGGAAGAAGAATCATCTTACCTTCGACCTTTGGGGGAGGTCCCCGCCATATGCATAAACTGTATCATGATGCAATGGCGTTGGTGAGGGAGTTTGGAAGCCCAAGTTTGTTCATCACCATGACCGCCAATCCCAACTGGCCCGAGATCCAGAATTCATTGAAATATGGAGAATCAGCATCAGACCGTCCAGATATCGTGGCCCGGGTCTTCTACTTAAAACTTATACGTCTCCTAGGCGAGATTTACGACATGGGGAGATTAGGGAAATGTATTTCTTATCTAGGGGTAGTTGAATTCCAGAAATGTGGCCTACCGCACGCACATCTGTTGTTCATCATGGACGAATCATCGCGGCCTAAAACGGCAGACGAAATTGACAGTCTGGTCACGGCGCAGCTCCCCGATCCTGTTTCTGAAGAACATCTGCATAATTTAGTAGAAAACTTCATGCTACATGGTCCTTGCCGACCAGGAGGTCCTTGCTGGATTGATGGAAGGTGCCGGTCCCGATTTCCTAAACCCTTCGCAGAAGAAACATCGGTCTCAGATGCCTCCTTCCCCAATTATTGTAGGCCCGACAATGGCCGCACAGTTTCGAAGCCTTCATTTACATATACCAATCAACATGTCGTGCCCTACAATAAGTACCTGTTGATGTTAATGGAGTGTCACATCAACGTGGAGATACCAGTAGGAACGAAGCCAATTAGGTATCTTTATAAGTACGTCACTAAGGGATACGATAAAGCTAGAGTTTACATGGAGACGTCACCTGACGAAAATCCATCTACTCCTCGAGGAGCTTCAACTACATCCACTGCGACAAATACTACTGCGACTCGGAAACGGAAGCGGAACGAACCGAAGAGGGTGGAACCTGAGGTACACGACGAAACAAAGGAGTACCAAGATTGCCGTTATATCAGCGCCCCGGAATGTAAGTAACCCATTATTGTTCCGAAAACATGACAAGGATAGTGTACTAACGTTGTAACCTAGGTGCTTGGAGGTTATTTAAGTTTTTCATGAATAAAAGGAGACCTGCGGTCATGAACTTGAATATTCATTTAGAAAATGAGCAATTGGTCTACTACGAGGACGAAAGTGACGCGAGGCAGAAAGTGACCATTGGACCGCCTCCAAATTCTACTTTAACATCTTTCTTCCGGCTATGTAGAGAAAATACGAAGGGGCATGAGAACGTCTACGCCCGCGACCTGCTCTACGTCGATGTCACAAAGCACTTTACCTGGGATAAGAAGAGCAAGTTGTTCAAACCGCGAAGTAAAAAACTGCGTACAATCGGTCGAGTGCACTATGCGAAAGTCGCGGACGGCGAAAAGTATTTCTTGCGGCTTCTCTTATTCAATGTGAAAGGGCCACAGTCTTTTCTTCATTTGAGGACGGTCGACGGAGTCACGTACAGCACCTTTCGTGAAACAGCCGAAAAGTTAGGTTTATTAGAATCTGACAAGCATCACAAAGCAGCTTTGGCAGAGGCTTCTCTATGGGCTTCGGCTCACCAAATGCGAGAACTATTCAGCTTAATGCTAACTTATGGACCTGTCGCTTCGCCAGACAGTCTATGGTCGCAATTTGCCGAGTTTTTAACTGACGACGTGGAAGGCACGTTGCAAAGTTTAGGCCACATGGGGCCGATCGACAAAAATTTACAATACGCATACGGTTTCAAGAAATTAAACGAGAGCCTACTCAACATGGGAAAGGAAACTGAGAATGTGGGTTTTAGCGGGTTGCTCAAAGAACAAATGACGAACCACCCGGGGTTAACGTTACTTCCAACTCAAATTTCTGGAATTGATATAAGAAGAAGCCGTGCCCTATTCGAGGAGGAGCAAAGTAACCTCAACGATGATCAAAGGAACTTCGTCGACCACATCCTAACAGGTTACAGAACAAAGACTCAGACGATTACTTACTTAGACGGACCTGGCGGGACCGGAAAGACTTACACGTTAAACACCATTCTTCATTTCTTCAAAGCCGAAGAATTGAGACCTGTGGCAGTTTCGTCGTCGGGAGTATCGGCGTTGCTACTGAGTGGAGGTACTACGGCACACTCAGCTTTTAACATTCCGATCACAATTGATGATAGTAGCACTTGCGACTTAAACGGGAGAGATGAGAAAAGCCGGAGGATTCTTGCAGCACCGGTGATCATTTGGGACGAGATTTCTATGCAGCATAGACACTGCATCGAGGCCGTTGACCGCAGCTTGCAACACATAAAAAATAATTCAAAGCCTTTTGGCGGGGTTAGTATCATCTTCTCGGGTGATTTCCGACAGACGCTGCCCATTGTACCACACGGGACTTTGTCAGATCAAAAATGGGCCTGCTTAAAATCTTCTGCATTATGGGCTAGCATCCGAAATTTCAAGCTGAAGATTAACCTGCGCCTGAAGATAGACGGGGACAGCGACAATTTGGAGGCACGACAGTACGCCCGATGGCTATTGGATCTCGGGGACGGTAAGCTTCAAGCTCAAGACAGACAGATGATTGCGTTGCAACATGTTCACGTCCAAACAGTCCCACCGTTCACTGAAAATCCCGTCAAATTGATTTCGTGGTTATACGACGACTTGGTTGGGTCAATGGCAAAGCCTGAATTGCCTGAAACTGCGACTTACTTTTCCGAGAGAGGTTTGATAACTCCTTTCAACAAAACTGTTGCAGCTGTGAATAACGCCATTTTAGAAGGAAGTCCGGGTGTGATGTCCTGCGCAGTTTCAATAGATGATCCCGACCCTGACTTTGCTGATCCGATGACGCCGGAGATTTTGAATAAAATCGATTTCGCAGGTTTTCCGCAGCACCGATTGTTTTTGAAAGTCGGACAACCGATAATGGTCTTGAGGAACCTAAGCATAGGGTCAGGACTGTGCAATGGGACTAGGCTGGTTATTATTGATATCTCAGATTACCTCCTGCGTTGTGTGGTCATCACGGGTCCGAAGCGAGGTGAAGTTATTGCACTACCTAAGATGAGGCTCATTCATCACGGAGACTTGGATCAACCTATTCCTTTTTCCAGGAAGCAATTTCCCGTAGTATCTGCGTTCTGCATGACCATCAACAAAGCTCAAGGACAAAGCCTAGAAAAGGTCGGAATCTTCCTACCTGGGCCAACTTTTGCCCATGGACAGCTATATGTAGCATTATCCAGGTGCACGTCTTTACACAATTTGAAGATATGTCTGGCGACGCAGGTTGTGGCCCGAAGCACGGCGAATGTTGTGTGTCGCGAACTTTTATTAGGTTAAGTGAGCCCCTATTGAAGCGTGTTACTTTCTCTCTTTGTTTTCGAGTTTCATTTGCTAGCCTGTTCCACTTTGTACCACAGAAAGATTTTGATCTCCAAGTGTCGTTACCCGCAGCAATGCTCATTGTCAGTCCCTGAAGATACTTTTCGTTGTTGCCTAAATGTTGCCTGCCCTTATTGTATTATGTATTTGTACATTGATTGTCCACAATTCGTAAATAATTAAGACCAAGGCAGCGTTCAAAGTTGAACATTGTCTTCGATGAGGGTATTGAGGAGAGTTTATTTGGTTTAAAGTAACTGTGACTGGGCTTTACTCAACATCTGAACTGTGGCTCACGTAGCCTGAGTGCGTTAGTCAGGACATGTGATTAAGGGATAGATTGGGAGCAATAGCAGACAATAAGTGTGAATTGTCCAGTGAATAATGAAGGGCTCAGGCATCTGTACTTTACTAAAACACGGAATTTATTTAGTCTATGTGTTACATGACAGTTGGCTTTACGAGTTGAGGAAATAGTGGCAAGGACGCCGGGACAAAAAGCTGTTGGATGTTAAAATATCTCAGACACTACAAGTATAGGTGTTGTACAAGATTAATAAAGCGACTAGAAAAGAACACATGATGCAACTTGGTCGACGTCATTGTAAGAAACGGTTGTGTGTCCATTTACACGTCGGGGGGATGCATGAACATGTGGGACTCCACGTTTCTGGTACTCAGAGGCAACCTCAACAAAGCATTCTGGACAAATGAAGGTTAAACCTCAGACGACAGTGTGAGCAGATTGGAAATAACTTACTTTGCGTGTCGACGTTTGCAGAGGCAGGCTCCAACCGATATATGGAACAGACAGCTTGAGCCGTTCCAGAATGCTTGATCCTGAATGCGTATTTCTTGCAAAGGTGCATTTTGATGGCGACTGAATTCGGGAAAAATATCCAGGTTTGGGGAGGTTGGTCTGAGTAAAGAACGAGGGGTTAGGACAATACGGCTCGAGGATGGACGAAAACTTACGTTGGGCGAAGTGTTGGTTTAAGATAATAAGGAACTCAACAAAGTCAACATCGATTCCGAGTCGATGGAGTTTGTCAAATAGGATCATGTTGAGATGATTTGTAAAAAGTGGATGAAAAGGGTGAGGAAGATCTACAGACGCACAAGCCGGTGGAATCTTATGAAGTCGCGGGTCCAAATGCATTGTTACAAAAAAAAGCACATTCAATAGCTTTCCAATATTGATCAAAAGCATCTTCTTTTGTTGGAAGATGCCATCAGTGGAGGATTGCATCTTTGAATCGATCACGTTTTGAAAAGCTGTAGCTTTCGGGTGGTCAGTAGGTATTATTTCAGTGACAAAAGGTTTTATAGCCTAGACTGGTTGAGTCTCACGGAGACCATTGTCACAGGTGTCCCATGGTGGAACCTCACAGGAATTTGAGAACAAGCTTCGTAACAATGAAGTTCGTGCGTTGGTCTGCGGTTCAATTGCCAGAACCGGCTGGACGATCAGGCGGCGGCGTACGACGTGTTTGGAAAGCATCTTCAGATATCAAGTCCCTCAAGCCTACGACGATCAGGAAATTTGAGTGTGCTATTAGTAATTGCCAATTGCGCAGAAAGCTCTAATGGCGCGTTCGAGTTTGGCACCTTTACCTCAAAACAAATGGAGTGAGCCGATCATTACGAGGGGATAAAGGGTATTAAAGGGACAGGCCAGAATAGATATTCGGTTCGCGCCACCTAAAGTCAGAATAACTCAGTGAAAGATCCAATTAAGAACATTACAATATCCAAAAGTAAGTCGAATCACTTCCCTATCGGCAGGAGTTTACTGATGGGGTGCCACTTTGCGACTTGAATAGAATTTATTAGCTCGACTAACTATGCCGTATTATAAGGAGCTTCAGTGGGAGGATGTAGTTCCAGTTCCACAGGCGGTATCGCACCACTTCATAGGAAGATTGTTGGAGCGAGTCCTAGAACGTAAGTTGTCCCTAAACCAGACTACTCGAAACACTCCTTTACTGACCGGTACATCATAGAATCTGAAGGTAGATCAAGACCATTTGTGGAAAGGGGTACAATTTGGATTTCGCACCCGAACAAGCGGTTTAAGTATGTATTTCGCGTAGAGGCAGAAGGCATACCACAGGTTACTGTGGAGGAGCTTCCAACAGTAGATTAAAAGGAGTATTGGTAAAACTCGCGGCTCAAGTTGTAACATTATTTGGCATGTGTCTTATAAGGAATTTTGCATATGTCGAATGAGATTTAATGCGCAGTCTGTAATTGCTTTGCCACTGTTCGTGTTGAGAACCATTGACCGGATGAGAGGGATCATAGGAATCCGGTTGCAGCGGCGGGCGGGCCCGCCTATTCTCTAGTACCTGTGAGAATCAGGTAATGAGCTTTAATGAAAGCTGCACACTGATCGAAATAGGGAGAGAACAATCTGATGAAAGAAGATTGTACGCGACAAAATGTTTAAGTTTGATTACCAACATCAACTAAAACTACTAAGATAAGACTTACACCTGTGAGAATCAGGTAATGAGCTTTAATGAAAGCTGCACACTGATCAAAATAGGGAGAGAACAATCTGATGAAAGAAGATTGTACGCAACAAAATGTTTAAGTTCGATAAAGAGAAAGGGCGAATGAAAAGAAGCACAAATCATCTTTTATATCGAAGTAAACAGGATGTGACGTCATGTCTATCTAACCTATGATCAATGTAATGATGTCATAAAAGAAAAGAATCACAGCTAAATGTAAATAAGCCATTAAGATCACATCACGATCTCAATTAGATCTATTGGATTCTGCAACTTTGAGAAGTGATGTTCCTTCAGTAGTTTGCATACCAAGAACACGTGCTTTGCTTTTATCTAGAGTTCCTATCACTGCAGACATTATTCGGGTTCCCCAAGTGGGCAGGGAAAAATGATTGGGAGTATGATTTGTCATAAAATGGTCTATCACTCCACACCTGAGCCATAACACCCACACTACATATGTGTAGCAGGCTCAGTGAATATGTGGTTATCATGTACATACAGTTCTGCTCAGTTATCTGCTCATCAGGACAAGTTATTCATATGTAATACATGCTGTAACTTCTTTCAGATTGAAAAAAGCTTCCAAAAGATTGACTACATACACTGACTCAATGTTTTGGTGTGATCTCATCAACTCAACTGCATGTAACACACTTTCTGTTACTAAGACATAGCTTCAACAATATTGCCTGAGAAGCTACAGAATTATATGTAGTGAATTTTTGGGAAAAAAATTTCAAAGTCGAAAAAGTTACATGTGGTATAACATGTGATTTATTTATTCTGATGGGCAAAAAACTGAGCAGACCTGTATGTACATGATAGACAACTATTGACTTAGCTTGCTGCACATATGTAGTGTGGGTGAAATGGCCCAGGTGTGCAGTATTAGATTCTTTTATGAAAAACTGTACTATTAATCATTTTCCTCTGCCAAATTGGGGAAGTTGAATGATGTTTACAGTGTATGAGAGAAAAGGATAATATAGCATATAGCGCACACGATTGAAATGAGATCGATCTGAACATGTTTCGTAGAATTTTAAAATCTCAAAAAAGTTGTAAGTGATGGCTTATGCTAGATATAAAGGGGAGAAAATTAAAATACGGCGAACATCGCATCAGTCTTTATGTTCTCAATGCGTGGGATGCTCTGAAGTTGTCTCAGACCTGGAAGAAACTTCACTTCGACTTTGAGAACTGCGGCTCTAATGAATCGTGCTATGTGTAGCTTCGTGGAATTTCGAATGCTAGTGTCGGGGGTAAGACTTGAAAGAGATAAATGAGAAATCTTCAAGAACTGGTGTTCTTGGAGGGGCAAACGTGAATAGCAAATCGTATGAATTGTCACAGTAGAAGTTGAGAGGAAGAGACAAAAATAGACACGACAATCATTTAGATTATATACAAATGAAATGAGTCTGAACATTGAATGAGTATGAAATACAATTGGTATTCGTAGGAAAGAAATGTGAAAAAGGATAAACTCAGACATGAAGATTTGTAAGAGAAATGCTGAGCACGTTGGTCTGATTACTGATGACCACTAAGTGTTGAGTAAACTGTTCATGATACAATCAATGTATCAGCATCCCCCCTTGCTTGATACTTTCGTGGGTTTCGGAAGTAGGTGTGTAGTAGTCTCATGATTCTTGTTTGAGCTTATGTTTCCAATCAGGAGACGACATCTGTTTAGCATTTCCTCAGGCGCATTTTTTGTAAGAAAGTCGGCCGGCATGATTTTGGTATCGATCATATGTGTGGAGATTTGATGTGAGTTTATGAGATCTCGTATGAAATGATGCCTTATGTCGATATGTTTTGACCGTGCATTTGTTGCAGATTCTTGTGACAGGAATACGGCTCCATTGTTGTTGTTAAAGATGCTGAGTGGGGGTAGAGAGATGGGGGATGTAGGTATGGGTGTTTGTGTAAGATGTGATATCATTCGTCTGAACCACAGACAGTGTTTTGCGCAGTCACCAAGGGCCATGTATTCGGCTTCGGTGGTGGACAGAGCTACTGTTGGCTGTCGCCTGCTTTTCCATGATACGAGTGATCCTCCTAGAGTGAAGACATATCCCGTTGTGGATCTTCGTGTCTCAGTGCATGCAGCGTAGTCGGCATCGGCATATGCTCGTAGTTCAGTGGAAGGGACGTTGTGATTTTTGAAAATTATGCCTCGGTCAAGAGTTCCTTGTACGTATCGTAGAAGATGTTTGAGAGCTTTCCAATGACGGATGGTGTATTTTGACGAGTATCTTGCAAGAGTGGACACTGCATATTGAATATCAGGTCGTGTGTGCACGGCGGCCCAGTTTAGGCAGCCAATGGCTTGTTGGTAGGGAAGATGAGCTGCGTCGGCGATTTCTTCATCCGTCCCTGGGTTTAGTTCAACGGAGGTTGGGAGAGGTGTGGGTGCAGTGTTGCAATGGGTCATATCAAAACGGTCAAGTACATTCTTAAGATAATGTTCTTGTGATAGATGGATAGTCCTGTTCTTGCTGTCTCTGGTGATTTTTATTCCTAAATGTAGAGATGGTTCATTTGTCCATACGAGGTTGTACAATTGATGTAGCTTCTCTTTTACTTCCTTCAGAAGGGTTTTTGAATTAGAGAAAACGAGACCGTCATCGACGTGCATTGGGATGTGAACAATTTCCTTTTCTCGTCGAAGGGTGAAAAGAGAATTGTCGTCTTTTGACGGTGAAAATCCAATGCTTCGTAATTTGACTTTGAGATCTGTGTTGAATTCTCGGTGAGCTTGACGAGTTCCGTATATTGATTGCTTGAGTAACCATACTTTTGTTGGGTCCTTAGGGTTGTAAAAACCTTGAACCTGGCGTGTGTATACTGGCATATGCATTTTCCCGTTTAGAAATGCGGTGGCAATATCAAATTGTTCCATTTCCCAGTCCTCGGAAGCACATAGTGAAAAGAGCATGTTCATGGTATCTGATTGAACAACTGATGCAAAGGTTTTGTCAAAATCTACACCCCAGATCTGATGGTTTCCTAAAGCAACCCATCTGGCTTTATACTTGATGATGTTGCCATGTTTGTCTCGCTTCCTTTTGAGGCGCCACATACCACCTATGATGTTAGCTTTTGGTGGTGCATCAACTAATTCACCTACATTGTGCGAAGTTAAAGAGTTAAATTCCTTTTCCATCGCTTGGAGCCAGTTGTCTCGTTCTTTTCCTCGCATGGCTTCGGTATATGTGGGACAGTCGTCGCTTTTCTTTGCAGCATATAGTGTAAGATTGCCATATCTTACAGGTGGTTTTCGATCTCTGATTGGTCGTTGTGATACGGTGGTGGAGTTGTTTATGAGGACTGGTGTATGTTTAGGGATTGGAGTTTCAGAATCAGAGGAGGTTTTGTTGTTGTCGGTCGGGTAGTCACTTTTGTTGTTCTCAGTTGCTGGAGCTGATGTATTTGTTTTGTGATTATCTTCTTCTTTTGACTTGTCTTCGCTTTCTTTCATGCTTTGTAAGTTAGATTTCATTTGTTTTGTGATCTTGATTTTAATTTTGAGATTCTTATCTTTTTCTGTGTTTAAATGAGTTTCCTTTGTTTGTTTTGATTCTTTCTCTTTATTTTGTATTTCTGTTTCTTTGGTATCTTTTGCTTGTACTTCTTTTTCTTTCAGTGCTTTTGATTGTTGTTCTTTTTCTTCTAATTCTTTTTCTTTTAATTCTCTTTCTTTTAATTCTTTTTCTTTTAATTCTTTTTCTTTTGATTCTTTTTCATTTAATTCTTTTGCTTTTAATTCTTTTTCTTTTAATTCTTTTTCTCTTAATTCTTTTTCTTTTAATTCTTTTTCTTTTGATTCTTTTTCTTTTAATTCATTCAGTTCTTTTTGTTGTAACTCTTTTTCTTTCAATTCTTTTTCTTGTAGCTCTTTTTCTTGAGATTCTTTTTCTTTCAATTCTTTCAGTTCTTTATCTTTCTCTTTGTTGATGTTGTGTGGAGCGTGTATTGAGTGATGGAGAGGTATTATTTCTTTGGGTGTAAATTCTATTGGAGATATGTTGTGAGGAATTAAATCTGACACTTTGTCGGAAAACGAGAATTCGGAGAAATTTGGGGATATTGGCGATAGTTTCACTGGGGTTAAGAATGGAGATGAGAGTTGAGATGAGTTTTCTAATTCAAAACGGCGTGGTTGTGATTGAAAATGAGAGAGAGGTTGTTGAGCTGGTTGTGAATTTGGAGTCTCTGAGTGCATGACATTTTCCTGAGTTGTTGGATTATTTGTAGTAAGATCAGGTGTTGTCTCAGCATTTCCATTCATAACTCTATTTTCTTCACGTACAGCCTCATTGAGGGGAAAGAAATCGTTGTCAGTAGTGAAAGATTGTTCGTCATTGTTTTTGTTTTTGAAAGGGAATAGTCTTTCATTGAAAAATACATTACAAGAGACGATTATCTTTTTGGTTGTTAGATCCCATAGTCGGTATGCCCTGGCGCCTTGTTCGTATCCCACATGGACACATAAACATGATTTTGCAGAGAGTTTATTGAGTGCAGTTGATTTCAGAAGTGGGTATGCGGCACAGCCTAGAACTCGGAGGAAATTTTCATTTGGTTGATGGGCTCCTGAAATGTCGGCGTTCCATAGTGCAAGTGGAGTTTCCATATCAATTGAAGCGTTGGGAGACACATTGAGTAGATATGAGGTTGCCATCATGATTTCTCCCCAGAGGAATTTTGGGATATTACCTTCAATCATTGTTGAACGAGTACGTTCCAGGATGGAACGGTTGAAACGTTCAGCGACTGAATTTTGTTCGGGTGTTTCTGCAGGAGCACGCTCAAAACTTATACCTTTTTGTGATAAGAACTCTGTGAATTGGTTGGAGGTATATTCTCCTCCTTGATCTGACTTGAGTATGGCTAATTTCTTGTTTTGGTAGCGTTCAACTTCAGCAATGAATTGCACAAAGAGAGAGAAAACTTGAGACTTGGTTCGCATAATTCTGATACAATTATATCTTGTAGCATCGTCAATGAAAGATACAACATATTTTCCTCCACCAATGGATGCAGTGGGCATTGGCCCTAGGACGTCACTATGTATGCGAAATAAGGGGACATCTGATTTAGGGAAATGAGAGGAAAAAGGGAGTCGATGAGCTTTTGATAATGTACATGATTCACAATTCAATTTGTTTGATGAGGTTGGCAATACTTTAGAGAGAGATCTGTAGTTGAGATGCCCAAAACGACGATGCCAGATGTCAGCAGGGATGGAGGCAGGGGCAGCGAAAAGAGTGGATGATGGACGTGCCTGTGTCAAAAACAGACCGTCGGATCCTTTTCCAGTGATAACATAGTCTTGTAGATCATTTTCTAAAACAATATCGGTTTGGTTACTGGTGAGTGTTGCTCCATCGCGAATCATAGATGAGACAGATAATATGTTCACTCCAGCTTCGGGGATGAGGAGTACATCTTCAATGGCTATTAATCTATTTTCACCGGCATGAGTCTTTCCGTGAATATAAGCTGTACCAGAGAGTTTTGCGTTGATTCTTCCATTTTGTCCACCTATTCCAGAAATATTGACTGGTTGAATGGTGTGTATGTTTGATAACAACTTTGCGTTACTAGCTATGTGAGTGTTCGCACCACTGTCAATGAGAAATTGATCATTTCGAGTGATGTGAGTCGTTGCGTTATAAGCAGAGTATGTGATAAAGTCGTTGTTTGAGTCGTTCTCAATTGCTACATGTACAGATGCGGAGTTGGTGTCGATTGATTTTGCCATCATAGCTTTGTAGCGCTTTGCCATTTCTTCAACGGAAAGTGAGCTTGAGTCTTTGTTTTCATTTTTCTTTTGAGTATGACATTGTTCATTGGTGTGCTTTGAATTCGGGTGAATGTGACATAGATCCTTTGGTGATTTTCCGACTTTTCTGTTGTCAGTTCTAATGGGTCGTTTTGATTTGGTGTAGTAAACTTCTTTGAATTTTTCTTCGCTGCTGTTGTTAGAGCTTGCTTCGAGTCGAAGTCGAGCACACACATCGCTCGTGGAGATTGTTTTAATGTTTGATAGAAAATGCTGAATTATGAGGCCAAATTCATTTCGAGGTAGACTGTTGACTAAGAGTATGGCATAGATTCTATCCGATAATTGAAGATCCTTATCTCCAGCTGTCATGTCGCGAATTTTGCTATGTAGATCTTGCACTTTTGCAATATAATTTGTGATGCCGATTGATTGGTCATACTTCAAGCTGAATAATTCTGTAAGGGTATTTGCGGTCACAATACCATTGTTGGAGCCGTGTTGAGAGACAAGGGTTTCGAATGCCTCTTTGGGATTTTCGATTGATTCAATAGATGATAAGTTTGCTGAATCAATGGTGTTGCGTATCGCATATAGAGCAGCCGCTTGTCGCATATCAAAACGAGATTTTTCTTGAACATCTGATGGACGATTGAGTTTTTCTTCGATGAATTCATATAAACCATTCATTTTGAGATAAATCTTCAATTCAGTCTTCCATGCATAGATGTTACCCATGGTAAGTTTGGGAATCGAGGCTATTGCAGAGGTACTGAAATTGGTATTTCCTGAATTTGAATTTGACATGTTATGTTTAATAAGAGGTTCGGTTGGTTTGGTATCGTGGTCTTTCGACATTAAGGAAGAAGGATGATTATGGAGTGATGAAATTAATTGTTAGTACCTTCGGTGGACAAAGGGTTTGTATTATGTAAATAGGTAGTACGCGTCTGGAGCGCTGGGCTCATAACCTAATGAATCGTGCTATGTGTAGCTTCGTGGAATTTCGAATGCTAGTGTCGGGGGTAAGACTCGAAAGAGATAAATGAGAAATCTTCAAGAACTGGTGTTCTTGGAGGGGCAAACGTGAATAGCAAATCGTATGAAGTGTCACAGTAGAAGTTGAGAGGAAGAGACAAAAATAGACACAACAATCATTTAGATTATATACAAATGAAATGAGTCTGAACATTGAATGAGTATGAAATACAATTGGTATTCGTAGGAAAGAAATGTGAAAAAGGATAAACTCAGACATGAAGATTTGTAAGAGAAATGCTGAGCACGTTGGTCTGATTACTGATGACCACTAAGTGTCGAGTAAACTGTTCATGATACAATCAATGTATCAACAGGCTCGTCGCTGGCCTGCAAGAAATAATTTCTCACTTTTGAATTATACCGATTTCAGAACCAAAATGAACTGTTGCTTTGCCAGCGTCACACTCATGGTACGGTAAAATTGACTCGCAGTGCTCTATTAACTGCTGGTGAACTGAATATCATTGAATTTACTTGTCGCACATCAAGCCCGTAAAACCTACAACTCGCGACACATCCACTGTTTCATGATCACGCCAGAGACCCAAAATCAAGCAGACTGCTTGATTGTTCTCCAAGCTTTCCCTGTTCTATGCAACTTGGAAGGGAATCCTGATACACACAAAGATCTCACCGCCTCATTGACTGATCATGGTCATGCATCTATTCAAAACCTCAAAACTTTCTGCCCAAACTTGATTAAAATAATTTCAAAAACAAATGATCAACATACATACAGCCATTCCGATATTGCTTGTCGCACCTTTTTGAAAAGAAAAAGTTTGTGAGCTCAAAACCTAAGTTTTAACCGGTTAAAACCTGAAGTTTGGCTGTATTGCCTTGAATTACAGCTGAGTTTGAAGTTTTATCGAGTAAAAACTTAGGTTTCAACTTTTCTTTTTCAAAACGGAGCGACAAGCAATATCGGAATGGCTGTAGTTGGCTAGAAATAAATGCGAATTGTTTCATTACATAACCTTGGAAAACGGTACCACAAACTTCCAGATAGATTGCGTTCTAAACTCCTGGTCCGGCCTTCTACCTATTATCCTGCCAGCCACTCGACGCAGCGTAGACAGGTTCATCGAGGTGTCGTGCCTCGAGCAACTATGATGGGTGAGGATGCAGGAGGTTGCTCTTTCGGCTCTGTGATGGTCGCGATCGGTCCTACCAGACGAAAGCATTCTGATGACTTCGTAAAAAACTCATCATCTCAATGAAGCCAGTTCAGGCCAGTTCATACAAGGTTCAAACGAGGCGCACTTTGATGACCTCAAATTCATCTTGAGCAGGTTTCGCACAAGCAAGATGAGTCCTACCGCCTTCTTCTGGCATCATGTCCACGGCCAGGTGGGCAATCAAAATGGTCGGCGGCGAAGACACTGGGGTGCTGAGTGCACCCATTATTTTGAAGTGGTTTGCAAGTGAGTTTGAACACTTCCTGAAGGGTAGGCATAGGGCAATCAGACATGATGCAGAGGGTCTTGGAATACGTCTGAATAAACATTAGTCAATCCGAAGATCCTCTCACCTAAACACAGGGACGGGCGGGTTGAAATACTGATCTCTAGTCTGGGTGCGTGGATGTCCAGAGTAAGGTGAGGGAAGAGGAGATAGAATGACTGCATACGTCGTATGAGTTATAAAGAGGCTTATCATCAACTTCGTCTAAGATATCCCATGATTTTCCCTATTCAGTCTTTCTTCTTCCTAGAGTCAGGTTCATAGTGATGGATATCAAGCGCTTGTTTCTCCTTCTGGTCTTTTTCATCAGTCTTTCATTTCTAGCTTTGGCTCAATGCCCAACTTATCGAGCCACAAACGTAACATCAGCGAATAACAGTCTACATGCCATACTCAGCTTAGATGGCCCAGCATGCAGTACGAGAGACGTCACCTCACTGAACTTGATCGTTACCTATGAAGAAAGTAGGTCAAAATCCAGACAGGAGATGGCTGCCCATACCTTTGCCACTCATACGCGATATCAACTTTAAATACTCGTGCACCAGCTCACCACTTCTTTGATAGCTACTCGTCTTCACGTGAGAATCTTAGATGCCTCATCGAATAGATACGAGGTCCCAGAGCAGGTCGTGCCCCGCCCATCTTCCGCATTTGTTCAGCCCTCCCAGGCCGCCTTGGCATTCTCTTACGACGCCTTCCCGTTCTCCTTCACCGTCACTCGCCGGGCCAACAATGAGACACTTTTTTCGACATCAGATGGTCCACCCCTCGTGTATCGAGACCGTCACATCAGCTTGCGAACTGTTCTTCCACTCACAGCCGCGATTTTTGGCTTAGGAGAAAGCACGGATCCTTTTCGAATTCCTCCGGGAACTTTGCGTACCCTATGGGCGCGTGATGCATATGGTACAGATGAGCACACCAACTTGTATGGCTCTCATCCCGTATACTTTGATCATCGTCCCTCAGGAACACACGGTGTCTTCCTCTTGAACTCGAATGGAATGGACGTATCAGTAGAATCAGACTTCCTTCAGTATGATATCATTGGTTTGTATTCTTTGAATCACGTGTCGTAGAGAGGCTGTCATTAATCATGATTTAGATCTAATAGTTGCCTGACTTTGAATTGTGATATCTCCGATTTTAGGAGGTGTTCTGGATCTTTACTTCTTGTCCGGCCCCTCCCCGATAGAGGTTGCACAGCAGTATTCTCAGATCATTGGTAGACCAGCCATGGTTCCGTACTGGTCACTTGGATTTCAGCAGTGCCGATTTGGCTACAAGAGTTTGCTCATATTTTTAATCCTTGGGTACGTTCAATACGCCGTGGAAAGCTGATAGGGTTCTCTCTTTGTTTCGCGTGACTCTTCCTAACAGACTATCTTGAAGTAGCAGAAGTGATTGCAAATTATTCTAAGGCTTCAATCCCGCTAGAAACAATGTACAGTCATTCCAGATTAGCTTGGCCAATTGAACTTTTTAAAAATTATTTTTACGGTAATACAGGTGAATTTATAAGCATATGCACATATGGAGTTTGTGTTAAACCCACCCCTGTTTGAAATTTGAATGATCATGCATACATATGTAGCTGTCCTCACCGCCATTCTCTCATCTTCACACCCATCGATCCAGCTCAATCGCATTTCCAATCACTCATTCTTTTGGATCTGGACACACACTGTGAGTATCCAAAACGTTTTCTTGGTTTTAAAATCAATCTCACAATCTTTCTTTTGGTTCTGTTTGAACCGTCTCAGCTTTGATCCGAACCTTGATTCAACCCTCTCGTTGTCGATCGATCTCTTTTCCTTGACTTCTAGGCTTTGACTCTGCGACATATTCCTTGGATCTTGTCCTCTATTTGTTGAATCCTTCCTTTAGGCTTCAGATCCAACTTTTCAGCTTTGAATCCAACCCTTGAGCTCTGTGTCTCTTGATCAAGTTTTTCCTCGCATTTGTACTTGTTTTCCTCATCTTTGAATCTCTGCATTGTGATTGAATCCCCTTTGTCAGCGTTTTTTTCCCTCAACTTTGTCAGTGACACTTTCCATTGCAATATAATCCTTGAAATATAACCTCTCCCAGTGGCTCTTTCATCACTTTGCAAATACACCAATACCATGGGACAAGAAAAGGAGATTGAGTGCAATGATGATGTTCACAGATGAGCAGAGTTTCAACAGCCCTGAAGCCGAGTCCTGTATGGAACCAACTTCAAAGAGTTCCGACACCAAGTCACCAACAATACATACTCCATACTGAAGTTTGAGAGCAAGCAAGGAATCAGATGCAATTGCGATAACGGGATTTTCATTTCACATTCTTTTGCTCAAGTTTACCAAACATCTTTTTAACGACTACGTACAAGATATGAAATCAGAGCAGGCCGGAAGGGAAACATATTCAGTTCATCATAATCAGAAGGAGAGAAACAACGGTGCATGTTCAAATGTATTTGTGGATGTCTGTGAGGGTGTTGTGTACTCTTAAACAACCTGATTATTGACACAAAAAGGACTTACCCTTATCAATCAAAGCAAAGAGATCGATCGAAGACAAGATGGTAGAATTGAGGTTCAGATTGAAGATGAGAGAAAAGCAAAAGAGAGACCGTGAGATTGGATTCAAAGCCAAGAGGACACATCCAAAACTTACAGTGTGTAGCCAGATCCAAAAGGATGAGTGATTGGAGATGTGATTGAGCTGGATCGATGGGTGTGAAGATGAGAGAATGGCGGTGAGGACAGGTTTGATCGTTCGGTCAACAGTAGATCGAATGATGCGGACACGGTTGGTCAGGGTGGGTCAACCTCGCAATTGAATATAGGCATATTTATGCTTATAAAATCACCTGTATTACCATAAAAATAATTTTCAAAAAGTTCAATCGGCCAAGCTAATCTGGAATGACTGTATGTGTAATATATAAAACTATTCGCGAGATTTTTAAGTTGATATTCGGAAATCCTTTTTTCAGGTGGACAGATATCGACTACATGAATCACAGCAGAGTCTTCACACTTGACCCAGAAAATTTCCCTCTCCAACGCATGAGGGAGATCGTTGATCAGCTTCATGCGCACAATCAGCGCTATGGTACGTGTGCTGATACCCCATCCACTTTTTCACAGCTCACTGGTATGAACAAATTTCCAATAGTTATGGTCATGGACCCAGCCGTTGCCTATCAGCCAGGAGACAACGGTGCTTTCGATCGTGGCACAAAATCGGATATATTTCTCAAGGAAGCCAATGGTACCTACTATAAAGAAATGGTATGGGCAGGTGAGATATCATGGTCGCATTGTTTCGTCTTTCGAAATACGTACATTTTTTGAAAAGAGGAAAACAAATTCTAGGCGCGAGTGTATACCCGGATTGGTTTCACACATCAATACAGTCATATTGGTCAGGAGAATTCCAAAGATTCTTTGACCCAGAAAGTGGGATCGATATCGATGGTATTTTGATCGACAGTAAGTTATCAGTACCTTACCTTTATCAACATCCAATTGAGATCAGTAGCTCTCCATTTTGATATAGTGACCGGTTGTTATTTTTCCAGTGAACGAGCCTGCTTTACCAGTTGCAAACGTTCGCGTCGTTGCCAAAACAACTTTGCGCACGCTCTCTTTGAAAAGGAAACAGCGACGTCAGGCTGAGAATCGTAGTGTGGATGAGTGGGATTATCGTATTCATAACACTGCCGGCCAGCTCGACAACCACACAGCGCGCACTGATATAGTACAAAACCGCTCATAACTACCCGCATCCCTTTCATAACCATTTGTCATTTTCACCTTGCAAAGATACGATACCCACAACCTCTTCGGAACACTTATGTCATCAATCACTCGCAAGGCAATGTTAGAGCGAAGACCAAATCTAATGCCCGTGATCATCAGTCGCTCAACTTTTCCAGGCTTGGGTGCTCGTGGTATGTAGTGTAAAATTTCTTTCGAAGTGTTTGCGCAGAAACCCCGATTGTTATGGTCCCTGCCAACACACCTCTCGGTCTTTTATAGCGGGTCATTGGACTGGAGATAACATTTCAGATTGGACGCACTATAGGGCCTCGATAATACAGATGCTCTCATTCGCCTCCATCTTTCAGATTCCCTTTGTAGGCTCAGATGTTTGCGGTTTTGGTGGGAACGCAACAGAAGAGCTATGTGGTCGGTGGGCTACACTGGGCGCATTTTATCCTTTTTACAGGTAATTTTTCTTATCTTTGAATGATGAAAACAAAGAAACCGATTGATATCCACCAAAGCTTGATGTACTGGAATCAGAAACCACAACGAAGTGGGTTCATTGAGCCAAGAGTTTTATCGCTGGTCAAGTGTTACCCGAGCGGCCAGGGTAGCTATCATCTTGAGGTATAGCCTTCTAGACTACTTATACACTCAGCTACGATGGCAACAGCACGATGGAACCCCTGCGATCCAGCCTCTTTGGTTTGTCTACCCCGATGATCCGCAGCTTATCAATATACAAAGTCAGTTTTTCTTCGGAGACGCCCTTGTAAGTGACATCTTCAGCTTTGTATCATTCGCGAGGAATGGTCATGAGTTGAAATTCAATGTGGCTGAAAATGATCAAACACGACAGCTTGTTTCTCCGGTCATGGAGGAGAATTCAACTTCAGTGAAGGCATATATTCCTGAAGCAGGCGTGAGTTTATCTAAAATCATCAAAAAATCTATCACCATGTAAATATCCGTGTAGCACGTCGACGTGCACACACGGAGAGTTTTGAAATAAATCTCAAAGTCTTTTGGTTGAAATGAGACTGAGATTACTGTTGAGCACCCTTTGTGCTTTGTGATTTGTTCAAAGGATTTTCATAATCCTTTGTTGTCAGCAGGGGTCAACTGCCTTTCAACCTCCCAGGTGATAAGGGGAAGATGCGCTTGATGTGGCACCTCTTTGATGGGTCGTTACAGGTTCTACGGAGAGGCTTTCGTGTGTGCACGTCGACGTGCTACACAGATATTTACATGGTGTATAGTACGAGCTGAAACATAATCTCTTTCGTAATATTTAGTATTTCGACTTTTATGCACGAAGACATATTCCGAATTCAGGGATGTTTGACATATTCGATGTGGGAATTGAACATGTCCCACTACACATTAAGCCTGGCTCAATCATTCCCTTGAGAGATGTCTCCTCCCCAATCCCGATGACAACTACAGAGCTCAGGAAGCGTCCTTTTGAGGTGATATAAGCCCTTTATTTTCACCCAAAACAGATTTCCGGCTTGAGGTCAGCCTCAGGACTCAAACTTACTTTGAAATACTCTTTCAGATACTGGTAGCCCCAAATTACAATGGTTTTGCACGCGGTCACCTCGTCCTTGATGATGGAGATAGTTTGATAGATGCCTCCAATCACAAATTTTCCCCAATACTGTTTGAATTTGAATCACATCATCTCAGAATTACTGGGCGAGAAGCTCATATCAAAGCAGAAGTGAAGATGGTAACATTTTTAGCGACTTTGGGTGTACAAGACGCACGGGTAACTGGAGGGGGACAAGGGGAGTTGAGGGTGGACTCAGAAGCAAAGATCGTTCAAGTGATTGGAAATTGGTCACTTAGTATGGGAGACCAGCTATTATTTGAGCTCGAGCTCGAGACTTGATGAAGAGTCACAATGAAGCTAAATATTGGTTATAAGATTTAGGAGAGTAAAAATCAATGGGATGATACAGTTCCCGTTCTATATAAGTAGATTTTTATGGTTCTTGGGTCCAGCTTTTGGTGGGAAGCAATCAATGCTTGGCACCACCTCTCCGTGCAATTCTAATGTTAGCTTGAACTTGGGAGCTTTATAGGTATGAAGTAGGTCCCATCAGGAACCAAAAGTTGGGTAAGGTCGCCTTGTATAAGTCAATATTTGCAACAAAAAGATATTGACAGACATATAGTACATAAGCAAGGTTCCAACTAAGAAAAAAGTAGGACTTGGAGATTTTTTCCCTTGACCAGCTCCACCAACACATTCATGTTGAGCGGACAAAGGGGTTACAAAGTAGAAACCTGGGTTTTTGCCCAGTTTTTCAACCTGGACTTTTTGGCTGTAGTTGGGACACAGAGAAAAAACCAGGTTCCTACTTTGTATCCCTCACTTGTAGATTTTTGATGCCCATCTTCTAACCAATGGGATCTCACTTAGACCTCCTTCCTTGCCAAGAGGCTTCATCTCAGATTCTGTATGCATTCAAATTGATGCAGGAATTTGTGGGTGTTGGCTGCTTTGATGAAAAAACGTTGGGTGTTGGGGATAAGTGGAAATCTAAAGCTGTATCCTTATCATACAATCACACAAGACACAGGGTGACTGTCTTTACACCCTGTTAATGAAAATTCACCAGACCTTGAAGCTCAGCATGGTACCCACTTCAGGCACTTTTTGACCTAGCTTTGTCATGTCACATACATGTCTGATTTCCCATTGCCGCCACTGGTCCCAAGAACACCACCACTATCTATTTCATACATTTCATGTATCTAGAGATTCTCACACCAGTCATGACATGCCCACTTGGTAAGTACCATATCAATATATGGCCTACACCAGTGATACCAGCCCAATGTCATACTAACAACCTCTTTCCCTGTTGCTTATGTTGCTTTATTCAACCATCCCATATACTTCATAGTGACTCAAATCACCAGCAATCTCACAGGCTACTCTGATGTGCCATGTTGCATACCTGCCCTATGTGTCCTGCTTTGCCAAAAACATACCTACTTCACAATCAACCCCACCCTCCAAGCTCAAGACCACTTTCCATTCCCATTTGATACCTGACCACATGCTTTGCAGCTTTGTTGCCCAAAATACCACACTGCTCTCAGCCACCCCAGCCACCTTGACCCACCACTTGCTCTGCATTTTCTTTGGGTGGTGTTAATGATGGTATGACTCAGGGTATGGGCTGTGCCTTACACCAGGTTGTGTGGATTGTTGTAAGTTCAGGGAGGCTGTGTAATTGTCAGCCCTGAGTACATATACATGTACCCAAAACTAACCTGTAACAGTAAAAACACTATGTATAACACCGTGGTAATTAATTAGCTTGAACCCCAATTGAACCGAATTTTGGTGTCCGGGTTTGAAATTCCCTTGAATTGTGAATTTTGTTCACAACTTGTTTGCAATACGTTTGCGGATTTCCCTCGAGCGGTACTCTCCTTGCCCCGTGTATGTACAGCTACATCATACAACAACAACGCCTTTCAACAACAGTCACCACAGATTCACCAATGTGCAGAGCATCAAGACTGAGGATGCATGACAAAGGAAAGATGGCTCAAAGATTAATTACATATTACATACTGAGTGTAGACTGTATGTAACATGTAATACAATGTATCAAAACCTTTATTACATATACACAAACTAGTAAAACAACATGTAATATGTAAGAAAACACCATTTACACCTCATAACTCAGTGTCAAGAGTTAAAATGCTTATATTACATATCACACATAACATGTATATGTAATCAAGCACTACTAGTAATAATCATTAACATATGGTAATGATTAACCCTGAACCAAAGTAGTGATAATAACAAATATCACTGCAATTAGGTTTAGAGAGGACAGTATATAAACCCTAAACCCCTCCTCTCTCAGCCTTCAGAGATTTCCCCCAAGCAATAATTACCCACTACTTTTAAAGAACAATTAAAGTTCAAATGAAGTAAATATCAAAAGTCTTATATATAAATAAGACTAGTGATAAGCTTCATCAACTTTAATCAGCTTCCTGATTAAAAGTAGGTAATACATTCTTCACTCCCCTCTGGATCCTCTACTTCCCCCAAGTAGAAACCCAATCAAGGCTAGTGACCTCCAACAACTCCAGGCTAGTGACCTTAAGAAGAACTTCAGGCTGGTGAACTTAAGAATAACCTCAAGTTAGTGACTTTAAGGACAACCAGATTGGTGAACTAACTCACTCTTTGACCTGTTACTATAAGGATTAAAGGAAGGTCTTGGATCCAACCTTCACTTATAAGAATAACAATTTATTATAAATTATAAACCTCCACCTCAGGAGTCAAATAACTGAAGTCTGTCTGGGTTTATCCAAACAGACTATCAGTCCTTTTTTTTCTCTTCCTTTCTTTTTCTTCTTTACTTCAATTTGTACCTACTACATATTTGAAATAAAGAAGTAAAATGGAGTAAAACTCACCATTTGCTCATTCAGTGAGCATTGAGCACTCCTAAAAGAGTACCCAACCCTCACAGTGTACATATATACATGTCTGTTTAGAAAGGGTGCAAATTGAAAGTAGTGCTTGTCAAAGATCAAACTAAGAGGGGAGTGATCAATGGGAAGTGCAGCCGCCCAGGAACTTGTAGCATATTGCTTTACTAGACCCTGGGTGGCCAGCTGCCTTGACAACTTACCCTAACCTAACATGGAGGTAAACGTTTCATGGTGTCTTGGTGGTGATGAGTGAAGTCAGACGCAAACAATCACCAGATTCAGTAGTGATCACAGGAAAGCAGGTGCTGACCACTACACCCTGCTGTGGAATGTGCCATGTGGAACTTGGCAAATCACACAGGAAATACCTGTTGGTTGGTGCCACATTCTGGTTATTGCACAGAGCATGGAATTCTGTGATTGATTTTCCTGAAGTGGGATGCAATGACACAATGAAACACAACATGCTTGAACAACTTTGTGTTGACCACATAAAGGATAGCTGCAACAACTGTCACCAAATAAATTTTGTGATGGCACATTGATGTGCATACACCAAGAGATGTGTGATGAGATTGAATGGTTTTTGTAAGTGTTTGGATTGGTAGAATAAGGCTCAACACTAAGCAGCCCTTTGTCAGCAAAGAAATAACAGGAGAATGACCGTTGATTGCTGGTTAGATCTGGAAAGAAAGAGATGTAGTGGCCTGTCTTCAATACACAGGTCATTGAAGAGTAATTTTTTTTATTGTTTTCATCCCCTTTGTAGCTAATATTGGGTGTAATTATATTTTCAAAGAACTCAATGGCAATTCCAAGTGCAGTGGTTGTTAAAAAAAATCCAAACAGAGGCAGTCAGGTTTCCTGTATGAAACAGTCTTGTGTTGTATGAGAAGACCAACAAAGGCCTGTCAGTCTTGGGGTCCAAAGACTATCTCAAGCTTATTTTCAGTGTCTATGACAAGACATCATTCATTCATATTAAAGGCGAACAAGCAATTCAGACAAAACTGGACAAAATCCACCATTAGTGCAATTTCCAAGTTTTGCACATGTGTCAGAAACCATTTCGAGGTTCGTTTGTGGTTCTTCATTCAAATTCCCAGTCATCTGATGGCTGCTTTGCCTCTTTTCACCCCATCCGCCAATCCAACTTTGCAAGTCAATCCCCACCTAGCCAACTTTCCTGAAGCACCCAACATCACTAATATGTGTATGTGCCTCGCGCGAATCTTCTCATTGATGGATCTAATGCGAATCCTGTATATGTATCTCCCTTCAACTTCGTCAATCTCCTTATCATCAAGACTTCAAACATCAACTAAGAATCAGAGTCCTAGCCGCATCCCTCCTTAAAATGATCCAAACCAATCTTCTGACTTAATCAAAATCACGATCTTTGCTCGATTCAAATCAATATACTCGCTGAATCAAAATTAATCCTTTCACTTGATCATAAGTACCTTTTTCTCCAATCAAAATCAAGATCCTCATCGATATTCTTCCTGAATCCGAATCGAATCTTTGAATTTCATATTTAGAGAACATATTTTTCCTTGCCTTTCATTCTTCTAAGTCTTCACTCACTCACAATCAATTAATTTTAAGGCAAATCAATCAATCCAAATGTAATATTGATTTATTTTTGATTTTCAAATGTTATGGTTTCTGACCTCGATCTTGGTGGTTTATGTAATTCAAAGTAAGCCTTTTACTTGGTTATTTTGATTGATTTTTGGATTGCATAGAAGATGATAATGGACACTAAAAATACTGGATTGTTTCTCTTTATATTGTTTATCTTTATCAGCATCCAGTCAACCAATTATTTCTGAGGCAAATCAATCAGGTTATCGATTTTAAAATATTATAATCAAGCCCAAAGCTAACGCTGTTATCATCACTGCCAAAGCACAAGCTGTCGTTCAAACCCTGCCATCTCGACTTGGTTATCTGCAACCTCCTCAGATCTCACAAGAGACTTTCAATTTGAACGAATACATTCCCGAGCTCACTGCCTATGCAAACACGTACCAAACTCAACTAGAGCAGATTGCAACTGGGTGTTACGCAAAGTTATACCGAGAAGCATTGAATCAGCTAACTTTCATACCTCCAACCTTCTGTATCATCCACCAATAACCACCAAACATCTCAACATCAACACCAGCACCAACACCATCAACACCCAGTGCCCACATCAAGATCAACATCAACACGGAAGTCAATTCAACCCTCATCCTCCCAATCTTGCCACACCTTCTAATGCCGGCAAGTGTACCGAATGCACACGCGACTATCTTCTCAGTTACGCTCATGCAACTTATTCTAAAAACAAAATAATGCAATTGTCGTACTCCTGCTACTACATACCCTCATCAAACTTCATCCGAATCATCTACCCTCACTGTTACTCTTCTTGTGTGTGTATTATTTACAGGGTCATTATGTTAGCTCGTTATTATACAGCGATCAGATCTTATCGATCGATCAGGAATATGTTCGTAATCTTTTTCTTATCATTCTCTTATCTTTCCCTTTACCATGTTTCCTTCTGCTCCCTGATATGTGCCAGTGCCTATGTCCATCCTCGTTAAGACCGATCGATTCCCTCTCATCTCCGTTATCGTGAATGTCCTGAATACACAATCGAATCTTATTTATAATCCTTATGTTCGCTGACAATGTACAGGTGGAAGCAAGAAGCGATCTCAGTACGACCAAACGAGCGCTTGGCAAATGGGCTGAAGCTGAAGAAAGGTGGTGGCGAGCGATTAGACTGCGACCTGGGTAGTAGTGTAAACTTCATACATACATTCTGTTTGTCTTTCAGTCACTTCATGACAGCTTTTTTCAAGAGTTATTCTTCAATCTTCTTTGACTTGAAATCACATCAGATCAATCAATTAATCAATTTTATGGCAAAAGAAATCCATTTGAATTGTTTGCTATTTTCTCCAGGTGATACTTCAATCAAATAACTAATGTCTTTCCCACCTCACTGACTTGAACTCTTGGGATTAAATTGGCACATCTCCTTTCAATTTTTACACAATTTATAAGGTTGACGTTTGAGAAAACTGACTAAAATGTTTTGCTTCCCTTTCATTATTAATTGGGTTTTTGATTGAATGCTTTTTCAAAATCAGTCAACTTCAAAACAATAATCATTTGATCTTCAATTTCAAGTTGTGTGATATGAAGGTAATTTTATTTTGTTTACCCCTGATTTCTTAAAATCTTACCTACATGAAAAAGTTGACTTCACATCATGCTCTTTTGATTTGTTAATAATTTTGGAATCACAGCACTTCATACCAATTACCATTGATCTTTTTGAACTTAGATCTTGCCTCCTCAAACCATGAACCTCAAGATCCAAACAATATCAAGTGAGTATCTTATGATGAGTCAAAGTAGAGCCTCTGTTGGTTGAAACTAAGGATGGTCGCATGGGTTCCTTGCATCTCTCCACTTATGCATCAAAACGATTAATTGAAGTTGATCAATTTTCCATTCTGGCTACATTCTTTGTAGTTCAAGTGAGCTCAATCAATCAAAAGGCTTATTGAAGAAGTACCATTGCCCTGGTCATTCAGATTCAGGTTTTGATGATTCATTATTAAATAGATTGTAGAAGAAATGGTTTTGAAAAGCTCTTTCATCATAATAAACAAAGGTAACAGGAATTCTATGACAAGAGATGCTTCTACTTACTCAATTTTCAAACTCATCATGCTGAAGGAAGGTTGTAAATAATACTTAATTATAGACTTATTCAACAACCAACCATCTATCTACTATTGCAATCAATATCCTGATTTCCTCAAGTCTTTTGCTCATTGCCATGTGATATAATTTGACTCATTATGTAGTCATTTTATCACTTTTTGTTCAAAAGCCATGTTGAAACATCTGCAGGTTCCAGAAGGGATTTACATTTCCCAGCCTACAGCTGAGTAAACTTCCTGGGCCAATATCATCACATACAATAGTGATACTGCCCCATCTCAATCAGATATTTGGCTTTCTAAGTATATTTGAGACATTCAATCTGCTTATTCAGTTGCTGGAGATTCAAGTGTGTTTTGAGTATGGCATAGTTCCTGCCCAGCACCAACAGATAAGTTAATAGTTGAAAATATTGACTTTCCTTTATGACACTACCCAATATTTTTTATTGTTGTCCTTGGATGCCCTTGCAATTTGAGGTCCAACTTTGGCCAGCCACATATGGAAATCATGACAGTATCTTGACAAATCAGAAGAATGATCATCATCATGGTATTGCCTGCTGCTGATTGGCTAATTACATGGCGAGAATTGTCTTCTCAACTCAACTCAATCGTAAAGTTTATTTTAGTTTACAAGAATCATCTTTTCATTTGATCACACCTGATCTTAATTCTATTTATCAACACCAAATCATCTCAAGATTGACTTGATTGATATAGAGCTACTAATTGTCAATCTCTCATACCTTTTTCATCTGAGCATCAAATTGGTTGAGACCCAGAGCATTGGTGGTTCATCACCTTGAGTTTCTTTTGCCAATTGATCCAGGGATTTTGTCAACATCCACCATAACTGTCAGCTCAAGACTTAACCTTGAAGATAAATTGGAGAAATCTAGAGATGAATGATACTTACAAAAAGTATTCTTTCAATTTTTGTAGGTAATTTATCATTTTTAAGCTATAACCGGTTCTTTATAGCTGTCTTTGGTACGGGAGAGGAGGGTTACCAGTGTATCAGTAAGTGCAATCACTTATTGATCTGCCAAGGTGAATAGGGTACTAACGTATAATGAGCCTGGGTGACGCTTTAGCAACGGTTTGATAAGACAAGCTTTTATCGAAAGGAGGACGGTTGTTTTAAGGAACTTGAGTTGAATAACGTGTGTGTTAAACAATCTTTAACGTCCTAAGGATGAAAAGATAAAGAGAAAAAAAGATTATCTGGAGAAGAAGAAAACAGTTGAGCCAAAAGATAATTCTAGAGTAGATTTCTTAAAGTGAAACAGTTTTTTTGAACGGATATTCAGATAAAGGGAGAATAAGTGATCTTCTAACAGAGAAAGGTTTTTGGGTAAAAATTGTGTATTTGTGGTAAAAGATGATCCTCCTTCAAGTTAGGAGGATAGTGTTCCTTTTTTTGGGATAATTGTCTGATAAAAATCTTTTAGTTGTTTCATCTTTTTTGTCTCTAGGGTTAGAATATCTTTTGGACTAAATGAAGGGCTGGCTTTTTGATTTGAACTGATCATTGGTTGTCTTGAAATTTACTTGGCTTAGTTCGAAAGACCCTTGCCTTGTCACAATCTTGATTAGTTGTGACTAGGGTAGTAATCTCATTTAGGACTAAGGGTTTGATATTTCAAGTCCAGTGTATTTTGTTTCTACCCTCTTGAAACTTGAGTGAGAGAGATGTATGTATTTTTAATAATGAAAATATATTTTTAAATATTTATTTCTTTTACACTGACTATGTAATAAAGAAATGTAGTTTTTATTAGATATGTTATGCCATGAGGGTTCTGCTCCACAGAAGCTCTCACGATTGACAATAACACATACTACGTATGCTCACAATTTTAACTCTAATAACAACCTGTGAGTTTGAAATGTGAGCATTCTTACTTCTGATCACCATAGTACAATACCACAGTTTCTTGGCTTCAAATGAGCCTTAGTTGGATGATGACAGTTAATTAAAGAGTGGAATGAATAAAGCAAGGTTAACAGTAAGTGCAGGTGGAGCATATACACTTTGGATAAAACAAAGGCTATATGTGTATAGAGAGAGGGATGAGATACCAGGGATAGGGATGAAGATTGATAGATTCCATGGCTCAGGGTAGGATGGCATAGGATGGGGCTACAAACAATACAGGCGGAGATGTGATGAGATTTAAGTAGAGATATAAGATCTATATTTATGACGTAAGACGTAACTTCAAAAAGTGGGAAATAGTATGAATATGTGTTTTGATTACATAGGTTTCCACATCACACAAAGGGTACTTTACAAGTTTGAATAAGAGGCAGAGGAAGGTATATCACAAATAGTGATCAGTAGAAGTTAAATTTTATGGCCATAAGCATAAGAATGTACATAATTAGCTCAAACAAATGCTGTTTGATTGATATAAAGTGTAAATTGGAGTGGAGGTGTTGAAAGGATTGTGAATGACAGGATAGGAAGAGAATCCACATGATATATGTATACAGAATGGAACTGCAAAAAGAACTTGGAGTCCAGAGGTGTAGGACTTGCAGTGCACCATACCCATGATGCTGGTAAATGCAAATCATTTGGTTGAGATATGTTCTAACCTTTCAATTTTGACAAAAAAATTCTACAAAAGTGAGAATGCTCAACATCTTCGAAGTTCAAAAGTGGGTATCTGGAAATGAGACAAAATGATACTTGATGTACTCTGATATTGAAACCATTAGGGGGTTAGGCTTAGGGGTTAGAGTTGAGGGGTTAGGCTTAGAGCAAGGACATTTTCACCCCACTTCAAGGGTATGTGACATTTACTCTGCTACAAATCACCATAATTTCACCCAATCATGGATTTCACCAGAATTGGACCTCACACGCAGCATGCCTCCCATACCCTGCTCTACCCCATTCTTTCCCTGTTTCTTGCTGCCAGTAGTAAAAGCTCAACAGCACTTCCTCCTATTTTTCTGATTTATTATTGGTATTCAGAATTGATGAAGTGATCTCCAGTAGATTATGAAATACATTCTGCTGAATTTACATCCAAACAAGTGCTAAAAAAGCTTTCTTGCTTGAGTGATCTGTGGAAAAGCATAGGTATGTGTGGATTGAGTTCAGTGGAGCCCATCTCAATATTATGACTGCGGCGCCCGCCGCCCAATTGGACTAGTTTGTGTCTACACATCAACATGCCATCACAAAATTTACGTGGTGTGTGTAACCCATCTAGTGTGACCACCAAATTCAGTCAAGAACACAAACAATAGCACAAGCACTCCACAACTTATTGTGGTTGTGTTGCGTTTTTGAGACCTGGAATGGCCCTTCCATATATCGCGGGCCCAGCACACCACAATACGGGTCCAAAAACCCACAGTCCTTGAAAACAACACCAAGATAGCATTTCACTCAGCTATATTGCTGATATAGCAGAGTGAAGCCCTTCTACTAGGAGTCTTGTGTACAAAATCAGTTGCCCACCCCTCCACTCATTTTAACTGAACTTTCTTGCCCCATGATGGAAAGCAGTGCTTGGATCTTGCTTCAAACACTGGAAGACCAACCCTGGAACTCCAAAACAGGACCTCACCTGCGGCTGAAATGTGGTCCACCTTTGATTCAAATTTTTGGCCTTGATAAGAGGTTTGACCACAATTTTCTCTTTGATCACATCTTACTCAACATTTCACTAATTAGTGCATTTCTCCAACTTTTGCATCATATCTGCACAATTCTTGCGCAATGTCTGCAATAGCTGTGCAATATATACAATTTTTGTGCAATATTGCAGAAATATTGTCTTTTTGCTGCACTGCCACCTTGCAAGAAAAAAATGAGTCCCATTTTGGTCTCATTGTGGAGCTCTTTATTGGCAACACAACCAAAATGGGTCAAAATCCTTTGTGTTGTGTTGTGGTTTTGGTGTTGCCATAGAATAATGTGAATTAGGGTAGTTACTGGAAACTGTACTTGTTCAGACACCTAAATAGGAGTGGTTAGCATTTGAACCCCAGCATAACTTAACCATATTGGGTTTCTTAGGCTGGTGTGTCAAGGAGGGCTTCA